CTTTCAGGAAAAAGGCCAAGGAGAGGTACTGGTGCTTTTGTCACCAGTTTCTGTGTTACAGTTGTTAGGAATGATCTACTAACAGGCTCTCCATTGACTTTGGGCTTTGCTTTGGAGGAGACCCTGTGGGTTTAGGGCACATGGTAAACCTATGACTCTTGCTTCAGTGCAACTCAGTATTGGACCACATACCATATCAAGCCTCATGGGTGAATTGAGTCCCCGGCTGCAGGCAAAGAGGATCCAAGGGAGGCAGTTGAAATGGGGCTTCCTGGAATTTGGTTGCATTCACTACTTAGTTCTGCAGTGTGTGGAGAATGCAGCAGGAGCCCTGAACACCTAAGTGTGTCCTCTTCCTGTGAACCATTTTCAGTGCAACTCCAGCATCAGCAGTCTCCTGACCACTGTTATCCTTTGCATGTTCTCAGTGGAGTGATGAGCAGGGCCCACTCGAATCTGGATGTCCAGATTTGGCTCTCACAGCCGTGAAGATTGAACCAAATACCCTCCTCAAGCCCAGCAGTCTTCAAAACACTGACAGAAAGGGAAAGGAGCCTCTTACAGCTTTTGTCTTTGAAAGCTGGCTGCCTCCAGTCCTGACTCAGATCTGCACTGCTTGGAAGTAAAGCACTGACCCCTGTTCAAAGCTGTCCCTCCCACCCTGTTTGCCGAAGGGTGAAGGTGGTAAATGTTAAATTCAGTAGGAAAATTACTGCAGAGTCCTGGGTGTGGAGTTTGCCTCAGCTTGTGTCACAGTATGACCCCGTACTCTGACAAGCCAGCAGCACACAGGATGCATTATGTCGTCTAGTATTTTTCCTATACAGATGGTGAAGGTGAAAATTTTCTCCTCTGACCCAGTGCCTGAGGTAAATGAACTAAATATCTTGGGAGAACAGGCCAGGGTGTGAAGAAGTGAAAAAGGGGGATTGTTATTTTTAATTCTCTTTTTGGGGAGGAAAAGAAAACAACCATCAAAACCTAAATTAACTCCCCCTTGCAAACATAATTTAAGGAGACATTATCAAGCTAAGAATATGAGCAGTTTGTGAATGGAGTTATTTTCTGCATATGCTGCTACTCACATTACTGAATTAAAACAGGAGGTGCTTAACATCGTGCTTTGATTTTCCACTGTGCACAATCCACGAGTTTTTTTGGGAGGGGGTATTTTGCTGAGCATAAACAATGAGGGCTTGTGTCCATGGTATGACTTCTGGTTAAAGCCAGAGTAAATATTGAAGTGGTTGTAGTTCTGTCGACATAAGCCCCTATATGAACATTCTCACTCAAACATTTCAGAAAATTAACTTCTGTTTATTGGAAATGGGTTTAAATCTGAGTGAAAAAAGCTGCCATGTTACTGGAATAGAGGTATGCTCTGGTCTGTTTATTAAACTTTTTCTGAAAAGAATGGGAGGAATTAGAATTTTTTTCCTCCATTTATTCCTCTTTGTGTTGCACAGGCTTTAGGTTGTAAATCTTGTAGGGGGCCTTTTTTCTTTAATTAATCCTATATGTTTTTAACCAGCTCTTGAAAGAGGAGTTGCTGATCCACTCAAAAAACAGGATTTGAACCTGATGCCAGGTGAACAATATTGCTGATAGATTCCCACACAGAAAATGGCACTGTGCTCATCAACTAGCTTTCAGAAAATACATCCAAAAATCCAGGCACTGCCTTAGTCTAAGGGCCATGTGGACAAGCCATGCTCCTGGTGAGCTGAGTGAAGCTGGGTTACAGTTATCCATTCTCTTCATCCTGTCAAGTGCAGATCATTGACCAGTAAGGATAAGAGGATGGAATAAAAACACTTTTACAGGGCAGTAAAGTGGGAAGAGGTGATAGTATCTCTAGTGTGAGATGTTGTCACAACTAAACTGAAGCCTTAGCTGTGTACTTGGCTTCTTGAAATGCTACAGAGCACTACAGAGGAAAGTGTTTATAATCAGGAGTGTCCTGATATGCCTTTCAGGGCTTGAGGAGCTCTTGCTCCCAGTGAGAAATCCTGCTCACATTTTAATTAGCTTGTTTTTCTTGTGCAGGTATTGTCATTTCAGGAAAAAAAAATAAAAAAGAGAGGAAAAAAAAAAAGGGAAAAACAGAGTATGTGCCTGTTTTTCCACAGTGCTATTGCACCAGAGCTGCTATTCTTTTCTGGGAGGAAAGGTGGACTGGACTCAGATACTACAAAAGGAGTCAGTGCTGATGCTGTATGATCTTAAATTAATTATTCTGTAACTAATAGTGATAACTGCTCTTGTAATGACTTGGGTTGTTTGGGTTTTTTAGAGGGTTGGTTTGGTTTGGGTCTTTTTTGTTGGGTTTTTTTAACTCAAAGCTGGAAGAACAAAGGTTTGCTAAACTGCTAGTCATAAGGCATGTTTTGTCTGGGGTGGAACAGACTTTATTGCCTTTGAGGACTTTAGGGCTTCAAAATGCTGCTGGGTGAATAGTCCTGGAGAGAGCTGTCCCTCCTTTATGCCAGAGCACTGGCTAATCCGTGTCTTCAAGAGGTCTACTGGGGTGTGAATTTACCGTCTGTGTATCACCATGACAGCCTGGGCAGTAAAGTCACAGAATCATGGAATGGTCTGGGTTGGAAAATGCCAGTTTCTTCCAGCAGATTCCTTGTGGGTAGATCTAGAGGTCCCTTCAGCTCCCATTCACACAGCTTGCTTCTGGCTGGAGGATGTTGGCTGATGGTATCATCCAGGGTGAATTTTGTCAAGGGCTTACTGTCCTACCCAGGAGCAGGATGGAGTACTCCAGGTGTGATGGGAAGAGCATACTTCAGTCCCCTAATTGTGCTTAGGGAGGCAAAGATCTTCCTCTAACTCTTCCAATTGCTGCCATTCAACTTCAAGTTTTCTTCTCCTAGTCAGAGATTTGGGCTTCATGAAGCAATTCTGAGCAACTGAGGAAACAGCGCTCCATCATGGTAATCCTCTTCTCTGAGGTTGAATGACTCTACATTTTCGTGTTGTCACAGAAATTTGTGTTTTGTTTGAGAGCTCTGGGTTTCTGTTGCACTGCCCTGCAAACAACTCCCCATCTAAAACATTTTGGGCTTTTGTTTGCACAAAGTTGAATGGAGAAGGATCTCCTGGTTGAGATAGGAGCAGCCAACATAAAACTGAGATTAGTTTGACATGCTTGTAGCTGAAGCTTCCCCTTTCCCTGCCCAGACTGCAGCAAATCCCTTCATATGTCCCTACTGATACTATGTGAGGTTAGAAGGACTGGCATGAGGTTAGAAAGAATGGAATGAGGCTTGCTGAGGGAAAGAGGCACATGGACCTCTGTGAGAGCTATGTGCTTACTTTACAGGGTCTTCATGGTCCTTAAGGCTGGTCTGGACCTGGAAAAGAGGATATTTTGGGATGAGCTGTGACATTCCCCAGGGTGGCCACTGTCTTCTCAGCCATGTTTGTGTGATGCCAAATTGCAGTGTGCCCCAGTGCCACATTCTTGGTGCTACTGGAGCTCCGGTGATGACCATGAACAAGAAGCCATTTCCCCAGTTCTCTGGTATTTTAGGAATTATGGAGCTGTTCGCTGACTGTGCAGCTGGAACATGGGAGGAAAACAGTGAGACCTGTGAAATGCATTGGTGGCTGTGGGAGCCCAAAGAAGTGTGTGAAAATGGGCTCCAGGGGATGAGCTTCATCCATAAAACACATGGAGCAAGTTGGACTTACACCAAGTCAGCATTGTGACTGTTTTAGTCCAGTTCAAACATCATTGCAGGCTAGATCTACAGTGCATCATGAGCCAAGGTCTTGGTCAAAGGCAAACCCTGAAGCCATGACTAAGCCCAGCCTTGCTCTGTCACAGAAGAACAGTTAATGACACAGGAATCAGCCTCTAACGTTTGCTGAACTTTCACTATTTATTATTTTTTCAGCAGACATGAATAAATATTCAACAAATAAGCCTCCTGGCTTAAGTGATTGTGGTGTTCTGATTATAAATAAACTGAAAATCCAAGTTCTCGGTTCTTTTTTACTTTAAAGCAGGCTAAACCCCATGGGAATGGTATGTTCCTGTTGTACAAACTGAAAAGGATTCATGTCGTGGTTATCATCTATAGGGTCATAGGGTGATTTGGAGTGGAGGTATTTTCCTGAAATAGCTTTGGAGTAGCTGTAGGGTCTGGGATGTGGCTCCTTTCCACAGGTCCTCCCCTGGCTACAGGGAGCTCTGGCTTTGAGTAAGGTGGAGGATATTCTGGTAAGTGCCTTTGGGTCTCTGGAGCTGGAGGATGAAACAAGAAATGTATAGCAGTTATGGGGAGCTTCCAGCAACCTCCCCTCAATATGTTTCACACTCTTCACTGTCTGCAGCAAACCTTGTGGGACTGTTTATACTCTCAGAGGAATATGAAGGGATTATAAATTCCCAGTGGAGCTTGCCACGGGACTGTGCTTTCCTGCCCGTTCCAGCTAGGAAAAATGAGCAGCCCTTTCATTGACAGGAGTTTGTGGTGACATCTGACACAGCCCTATGCTGGGTGTGCAAAGCCCTGGTCCCAGGGAAGGCAGCTGGGAGGAGCAGCTGGGATGAGACTTGGCTCACTCATCCTGTGACCCGGAGGCTTGAGCATCCCAGACAGAGAGCAGTGTGTGGCCCCTGTGGGAGCATTTCCATGGGATTGTTGTCAGGGATTTGAATCTGTGCCTCCTCTTATAGTCTGTTCAGCTCAACCCTGAGGGGAAAAAAATCATTCTTCAGCAAGCACTGTGTCCCTTCCCTCCACTAATGCCACATTTTAGTAATTTGTTTCAGTTCATTAATGGTTCTTATGTCAACCCACAGACTTTGTTCCTTTCCCCTTTCCACAGTGGTGGTACTCAGTTACCAGCTGGGGTTAAACCTTGTCTGCATGTCTTGTCTTTTTTGGTGGCTGGACTGGACAGAGCACTCCCTGGTAAAGCAGGGATTTAGGCAAAGTCACAAACGTAGTGCTAACATGCTTCCTTTACTCTTGATTTGCCAGGGCAGCCACTGACCACAACATTGACAACACCACAGCAATCCTCAGGGAGTGGCTGAAGAATGTGCAGCACCTGTACCACGATGTTGAATGGAGGCCCATGGAGGAACCCCCGTGAGTACCTGGGAGTACCTTGGCTGCAGAGCCCAAATTGCCAAGGTTTTCTGTTTCCAAACCAAGAGGTGTACTAAATGTCCAAGTGCTAAAATGTGCATTATTTGCTTTCTGGAATCTGTCCCATTAAAATTGTGTTCTTAAGGAAAAAGGTGAGATAAAGTCTCTGTAGAAAGGTCTCTTACTTCATGCAGAATTTTGTGGAGGAAATTTATTAAGCATCTGTAGCTGTTCTTTTTGCATGGTAAACAAAGTACATGAAGAGCTACAGGGAATTAAAATTATCATTCTTTATTTGCAGGGAAGCAGAGAAATTACAGCCCATTCCATAGTATCTATGAGAGCTCTGAGACATCAAATATTCACTAAGTGCTGAGCCAGAGAACTGGATTTAATTCCATGTATTATGCCTTTGCATGATTTGGAGGACCATTGCTTTGAAACATGGCGTGTTGGGTTTTATTACTTTAATTTTTCATTTTTAAGATCAGCTGTTCCTGTGTTTGTTCTGTTTTCAGTTTCTTCCATCGAGGAAAATTACATCAGTTTCCCCTTCCTTTAGGCTTGCTTTTATATTCAAGTTCCTTACTGCAGTGATGAGGAGTGCTCGTTTTATAGACAATTTTAATCCTTTCATTTGACTTTTCTTCATCCTGCCAAGCTTGGCTTAAGTTCTGCAAAAAGCTTTTGTAATTCTTAGTTCCATCTCTGACTTCTGCTGGTGTTGTTTCCAAGTCCTGGATTTTTATTTCTCATTGGGATCTGCCCCTGAATTCCCTTCCATCTTTGTTAAAAATCCATTGCTTTTGGAGCTGATCCTGAAGGCAGAGCCATGCATGTGACTCTGCTGCCATGCTGGGATTTGTGGGGCTGGGTTTTGGGAGATTTAGGAGCTGCTCCCAGGATGTGTTAACAGTTCCTAATGCCCAGAGCCCAGGCAGGCTGCCTTCATCTTCACATCCCATCTCTGCTGGTTCTGCTAGGCCGAGGGGAGCTGGATTTGCAGCCTAGCAGAGGGAAGATGAGTTTGCACCTGAGGTCAAGCAGGGTCAGTGAGCTGCAGTTTGGAGAGGTCCCCTTTGTGCTACCACAGCAGCTTCTGCATTGGATGGTGCTGCTTTGTTGGGTTGTCAGAAAACTGGGGCACTGCTTGTTTTCTCATGCCTTCTGTGCTCATGCCAGCACAGAACTTTGAATTATTCTCTCTCAAAACCTCTCCTGGGTTACCTGAGGTGACTCTTTGCTGTTTTGCTTTCATAATGAAGGCAACAATGGAACTTCGTCTTCTTCCTCCTGTCTCCTTCCTCCTGTCTGTCTCCTTCCTCCTTCCTTTCCTTCTTCCTTCTTTTTCTGGTGCAATAAAGCCCAGACATGGATTACAGTCACTTTTTTTTTTTATTTTCTAGGTCTTACCCAGAAGAAATTGGACCAAAACATTGGCCAAGCTCCCGATTCACTCATGTGATGAAGCTGCGACAGGCTGCCCTGCGCACTGCCCGGGAGAAGTGGTCAGACTATATCCTGGTAAGTACAAAGTTTGATTTATTGCCTGGCCTCAGGCAAAAGCTTTCCAGGTGCTCACTTGGATACTGAAGGCTGTCAAAAAGTTTTTTCTCCATCTAAAGACAAATTGAGATGTCATGGATCATTTCTTGTTCTGGTGAGCCAGATACTTTGCATTGAGGGAAGTGAGTCCTTGGCTAAGCTTGGAGCTTTCTCCACAGGCATCAGGATTGAACACAATCCTGGAGGTGGAAGGTACCTGAAAGGGTCCCCCAGATTGAACCCCCACCTGGTGAAATATAAGGGAATAGTTGTGCAGAGCAGCTGTGGGAAGATGTTGCCTTTGGTCACAGTGAGAGGGGTGTTCCCAAAGCCTCCAAGCAAGGTGAGGTATGAAGGCAGCTGAGGAGTTGTTCTTGATGCTCTTCACAGAATGAACTCGTCCTGAATTTTCAGTGATGTTATTTTCCCTGGCAGCTCCCTGGTCCCTGTGCTGGCAAGAGGTTGTGTGGAGTCAGGGAGGCTCTCTGCCCATCTCATTGCTGTGCCCACAAGCAGCCGCCCCCAGGTTTCCCTGTGACAGCCTGGTGCCCAATGGAGTCAAGCTCACCAGCTCACTGCTTTTAGGGTGTTCTTTTGCTGACCTCATGGAATCATAAAATTGTTAAGGTTGGAAAAGGCCTGAGGTCTGTGAGTCCAGTTGTTGACCTGCCATGTTCATCATGTTTAAGCCACATTCTCAAGTGCCAGGTGCACACATTTTTCAAACACTTCTGGGGATGGTGACTCCACCTCTGCCCTGGGCAGCCTATTTCAATGCCTGGCCATTCTTTTAGAAGGAATTTTTCCTAATATCCAATCTAAACTTCCCATGGTTCAGAGCCCAACCTCCCCTGGCCGCCCCCTCCTGTCAGGGAGTTGTGCAGAGCCAGAAGGTCCCCCCTGAACCTCCTTTTCTCCAGGCTGAGCCCCACCAGCTCCTTCAGAGCCGCTCCTGTGCTCTAGACCCTTCCCCAGCTCCATTCCCTTCCTTGGACATGCTCCAGTCCCTCAAGGTCTTTTCTCATTGTGTGGGGCCAGAAGTACCCTAGCAATGGCAGCATAGGGGACAGGCATTGCAATGGGCCTGTGGCCACACCAGGGCTAGTCATGTGCCTCTGGCTGCCTCATTCCCAAGAAAGCATCACGGGAATCATACTGTTTCATTTATTAACAATTTTTTTTTCCCCTCTTCCTTCTCTAGTTTATTGATGCAGATAACTTACTAACCAACCCCCAGACCCTGAACCTGCTGATAGCAGAAAACAAGACACTGGTGGCACCGATGCTCGAGTCCCGCTCCCTCTACTCCAACTTCTGGTGTGGCATCACTCCCCAGGCAGGTGACCTCGTGAAGGGTGCTGGGAGGCTGTGTGAGTGGTGTCCTCAAGGGGCTCCTGCCCCCGTCTCTGGAGCAGCAGGCATCCTTCCTGTTCTGTGGGCTTTCCCATCTGCTGCTGTAGCCTTCTTCTGAACAGAAGCTGCTGTAGCTCTGAGGTGGTGTTAACATGTGGTATGATCCCACTAACACATAAAAAATACTGATAAACAGGTCAGAAGTTTTTTTAAGGTGGTCCCATGTGTCTGTAATGGCCTTAAAACCCTTGGTGTGTAATTTCAGGCAAGTTTTTTTTTTTTTTTTGTACAGTGATGCTAATCCAAGAGGAATTTGCTTTTCTTTCCACAGATCTCCACTGTGTCTAAGTTATCTTTCTCATCTATGAATAAGATTTTTGAAGTGGGGCAACATCCTTTGCCTCGTAGGGAGTTTGTGTGCTGAAGTATTCATGTAACAGGTACTGGTGCTGAGCCTAAAAATTAGAGTTTCATGTTCCCTTTTCACGTTGCTTCTGATCCACATAACAACTGCATTGGGTCAGAGCACAGATTCATTTGCAGATGTCTAGGGAATAGTATAAGGATAGGGCAAAAAAGTGAGTGCTACTTCCCCAAAATACTTTTCTTTCCTCAGGCAATCCCCTTTGGGTTTTTGAGGAATATATTTGTCTTTAAAGCTCTAAGTAATTTTTTTATTCTAGAGAAATGCCTGTCTGAACTTGCTTTTTGACATCCACACCATCTTCTGGTAAGGAATTCCACAGTTTAGACTAAATAATTGGATAAAAAAATAGCAGGAAAAGGTCCTGAACTTTCCAAATTCTTGGGAAATAAATATAGAGATAAGAAAGGTGTGTGGTGAGGTGTGTTTACTTGTTTCACTTAGATTTGTTTACTTTGTTTGAAAATGGAGATACAGACTTCATAGCAAAGGTATTGATTGTGCTATAAGTTTTTAAGGCTAAGTCCTGAGTCAGCCAGGTTTTCCACTGGGGTACATCAGCCCTGCTTCACAAGCCGAAGTGGATCTCTGCCCATGTGCACAAGCCCCAGCCCTACTTCTTCAGTAGGAAGTTTCCACCATTACCAGCACTATCTGAGAAAAGGGGAGACGAGAACCAGCAAAGGCATCATGCAAAATTTGGTTTAAAAAGAAAAATCCTGCTGGAGTGAACAGGAAAGTTCTCTCTTTATTTTTCCTTTTGTCTTATTTCTGCATGCGGTACCAGAGCTTCATGTTCTCAGCCTTGCTCTCCCAGGAGACCTGGGGAGTAAATAATAGCTGGAGCACATCCTGAAACGTGGCCTCCCCCCAAAATGGAGCCATGGTGAGCCAAGCCCAGCTCCGGACACGCTGACATCTATCTGTCACGGAGCAAACCCTGGGAGAAGCAGTGCAGCAGCAACACAGGGGAGTTAGAGTCCTCTTTGTTTACATGTGATTTATATGCAGGGGACAGCCCCAAAATCCAGGAGTGAGCCACTGGAGGAGGAAAGATGAGTGTCCAGTATCTTCACTTGTGGGGATTATCAGGTGTCTGTTTAAGAGTGGGTGTGTTAACCCTTCCTTTGGTGGGAATGCCAATCACATTTTTTCCCACCTGCTCCTTCCTGTGGCAGTTGGGATGGCTGTGTTTGAGGTATCCCGTCTTCACAGTATGGTCACAGTGTATCTGAAAGGCAGAGGGAGATGGCAGATCCATAACCAGGTATGTGCACCACCTTGTGGTTCCACATAACCCAGGGCAGAGCAGTTCTGCAAGCATTTGCTCAGCCAGTGCCTGAATGCTCATGGAAAATAGAACGTAAATGGAGCTTTAACTTCTTTTAGTGACTCATTGTTTCTGTAAAGCCCAGAATCTGTTCTGGATTCAACCCTCCAGATGTCAATTTGATGCTCCAGGGTTTTCTTCCTGGAGGAATTCAGTGTATTTATTTCCACATGAGCCACACACTGTGGGTGTTGTACCCAGAGTGCTTGAAGGCTACCAGAGCTCCAGGGTACAGGGAAATGCCCAGGAGCTGACTGAAGTGCCTCTCTACGCAGAGACAGGAGTGAGTATCAAACCTGCTTGCCCCAGGATGGAGGAAGCAGGGATTCTTACACAGCTGATAGAGACTGAGATGTTACCTTCACTGCAGTGGCAATAAATGTTTTTTTTTTTAAGTCATTAATAGAATGAATTTGCAGATCCTGCTCTCTGAGATACTAAATGGACTTTGTGCCTGTTGAATGTGGAGGATGTCATGGATGCTCAGCAGCTTCCAGGATCAGTCTGGAGAGTCTTAAGTGCAAAAAGGGATTTGAAGAACCAGGAAAAAATAGTCTGAGGTTTGAAGCTCCATTGCAGGGGAATTTTGCAGTGGAAAGGCTGGGCTATCCAAGAGCTCCTAAAAAGCAGGGAGAAGGTCAGTCTTTACTTTCGGGATGAAGACTGTTTCTAAATACTTGACTGAGCTGTTTCCAAATGGGAGACATGGAAAAAGCTGAGAGTCGAGCCCTGGTGAACCTCTGCTGGAGAGTTCAGGGTGTGAGCTTTTGCTAAGGAGCAGCTTTGAAACAGGAATTTCTTGTTAACAACAGTCCCCTCTTTGTGGTTTCAGGGTTATTATAAGAGGACCTTGGAGTATCCCCTGATTCGGGAATGGAAGAGGATGGGCTGTTTTGCTGTCCCTATGATCCATTCCACGTTCCTCATTGACCTAAGGAAGGTGGCCTCCGCCAAGCTGACATTCTACCCCCCACACCAGGACTACACCTGGAGTTTTGATGATATCATGGTCTTTGCCTTCTCCAGTCGCCAAGCAGGTGTGTCCAGGGCCTCTGCTGGGGAGGGTTCACTCCTAGAGACACAGAGACCTCCACTGCAGGTTCACAGCCCAAAAGTCCTGGGTGGAGTTCATGTGGATTCAGACCCTGTTCCCTTTCCTCTCTGGGATCTGGTCAGGGAAAACCAGCAGCAAGTGACTGGAAAGGCTGTTTTGGATTGCTGCTAATTTCAAAGGATGTGGAGGCTGTTCTTGGGATGGGGCAATATTTCAGAGACAAAAAGTGTGACTCCACCCTTGGTTTGTGTCATAGTAGGTGAACACAGGTGGGTTCTGGGAGATTGTAAGGTGGTCTGGGAGTGAGATATCTAAAGTTACCAGTTCTAAAAGATCCTTGAGCAAAGGGGTGAGGACAAGAGACTTTTAAACCGTAGAATCTGACAGGACTGACCCATGACATGAAAGGCTTTTCTCCAGCTGTCTGGCCTGTTGATATGCTCAGACTATTGACCTGTATCCTAGTCTGAGTTTTGTCACCCAGGATAAAGTGATGACATCCAAGTTCAGAAATGTGAAAAATGTGTGAGCTTCGAGGTAAACTTCTTTATAGAGTAATTTCATTTACTTTCCCTGAAGTCAGAAATTATATTGGCTTTTGTCCAGGCCAAGTGCTGTGCTTAACACCTCAGATCAAAACATCGATTTCCAACAGGGAATCTGCTGCTGGAAGCAGCTGTTCTGTTATGCTCCAAAGAGATGGTCTCGCCTCTGAGAGAGGACGTGGCCTGTGTGGGAGTCCTGAATCTGAACAAAACTTAGAGTGGGTGTGTTATTGCCAGCACTGGACTCTGCAGAGCCCCTTGCACTCACAGGAGAGCTTTTAGCCAGCCAGGTCAGCCTGGAGAAAAGGAGAATCGGTTGAGACCTAAGAGTCTCTTCCAGTGCCTGAAGGGGCCTCCAAGAGAACTGGAGAGGGACTTGGTACAAGGGATGGGCAGGATGGGGTGGGTATGGCTTCTTACTGCAAGAGGGCAGTGTTAGATGGACTATTGGGAAGGAATTGCTACCTGTGAGGGTGGAGAGGCTCCAGTACAGGTTGCCCAGAGAAGTTGTGTCTGCCCCATTCCTGCAGGTGTCCAAGGCCAGACTGGACAGGACTCAGAGCAACCTGGGATAGTGGAAGGTGTTCCTGCCCATGGCAGGGGTGGAAGGAGATGAGCTTTAAGGTCCTTTCCAGTCCATACCATTCCATGATTCCATGATCTCCTGAGCTGCCTTTCAGCCTGGGTCTCTGAAGCCCTGAGCCAGCCAGCAGGAAGGTCTGGTCACAGGGATGCAGGTGTAATTTTGGTTCTTTACCTGTAGCTGTGATTTAGGACATGACTGTAAATCCTGGACAGTGCCTTTAAAGCCCATTAAGAATAATAATACAAATACCTATAGTTTTTCTATCCCTTGTAGTAATCATTTAACTATTATAAAAACAGAGCTGGAGAGTGAGTCCCCCTCCCCACTTTACAGGAGCTTTACTGTTTTTTCAAGTACCTTTTATCCCAAACAGAACAGGAACACTGGTGTGAATCTGTGCAGATTAAATATGTTCAAGGCAGCAGAAGATAAGAACAGCGATCAGTGAGCCAGAAAAGATCAGTTGATTAGATCAGTGCCAAATCCATTAATGTCAGCAGGTAGTAGTTTTTTATTCTGCCATTTACCTAAATTGCAGCTGACAGCTGAATGTGTTCTGGCACATAGCATAGCAAGCAGTTTACTTGTAGAACTTAAAATGAGAGAAACACCAGTCATTACTGCCAACAGTTCCACTCTGCTAAAAATACCATGGATAGGGGGCACTAATAGATGAAGGCATCAGCCCACCAGGTAGTGTCTGCTTTTCATTTATTTCCTCGAGAGAGGGGGCTGGTTAAATTTGTTTCATTAAAAAAAATTTTAAAAAGACAAAATAAAAAAAGACAAAGGCATTTTTTGGCCAATTTCTTGGGTTCTAGCAACTTTGATTTGGGTTAGTTAATAAAGGACCTTACCAGAACTCAGTGTAAAACAATGGAAATGCTTCCCTTGGCTTGTCTGGATGTGGCTTTTGAGTGTATTGCCTGATGTGAAAGACAAAGTTACAGTGGTTAGCAAATCCCTGTCATCCCAAAAGGAAAAGTGTTCTGCTGATGCTGGGATGTTTCCACTGGGTGAGTCTGTGCCCTGCAAATGCATCTGTTCCAAGGACAGGCTTTGCACCTCCTCTCTGTTTCCCACCTTCAACAAGCAGTTGCAAAAGCTTTTGAGTAGAAGGACATTAAACATTATCACATCTGTTCTCCTCACTGGTGTCTTGCTCTGGGATTTTCCTTTAATCTTCAGGGCATGGTAAAAATTAGTTCTGGAGAGAGAAAAGGACTGTATTTGACAGTGACTTGACATTTTGAAGGTCATTGTCATATGTATTCCTCAAAGTCCTTTGCCAGCACAGGTGCTGTATCACCTTTATGTATCACCTTTACTTCCTAGCCAAGGCAAAAGGAAGCAGTGATAAAGAATAGAATAGGTTGGGTTAGAAAGGACCTTAAAGATCATCTCATTTCAGGGACACCTTCCACTATCCCAGGATACTCCAAGCCCACTTCAACCTGGCTTTGGACACTTCCAGGGATGGGGCAGCCACAGCTTCTCTGGGCAACCTGTGCCAGGACCTCACCACCCTCACAGGGAACAATTTCTTCCCAATATCCAATCTAAACCCATTATATTTCAGTGGGAAGCCACTCTTCCTTGACCTGTCATCCCAGGCCCTTGAAGGGTTAGCTGGGCAGACAGTAAGGATTGGTTTTATGAGAGAGGCCACTTGCTGCCAGCCAGGCAAAACAGAAAGTGGAACTGGAATGATTTTGAATTGATTGTTTATGAAGCAGAACTTTTTGGGACTGAGGTCCTGGCAAAAGTGTGTTTGTGGCTATGTAGCCACGGAGCAGTGAAATGCCCTGGTAGCAGGCCTGATTATAGTTTCTGCTTTTCTGTGATCCCCAGGAGTACAGATGTTCATCTGCAACCGTGACCACTATGGGTTCCTTCCCATGCCCCTGAAGCCGCAGCAATCGCTGCAGGAGGAAGCTGAGAATTTTGTGCACACCCTGATTGAGGCCATGAGTGAGTTGCTATGCCCTTGCCATGATGGACCCTCCAAGTTAATGCCTATAGAGCTCTCCTGCCAGCATCTCAGCTCTCATTCTCTTGGAAGTCTGCATCCTGACCTGTCTGCACTAATATTGTTTTGATACACAGTGTTCCGAAATTTTCCACCACTTTTCTGCTTAGGGATGTAATTGCTTCATGGTCAGGTCAACCCCATTCACAAAATCCCTCAACTTCCCCAGATCAAATGCATCTTTCATGTGGAAAGGGTGCTGCATGTCCATGTTTTCTTCTTGATGTCTGTCTGGCACGTGGCTGCTGGCTTTGGCTTTGCCATGTGATGCTTCTCGCTGTTCCCATCCTGCAGTGGCTCCTCATCCCGGCTCCAGGGGAGCCTGTGAAGGAGACACCTTCTGACACATTATGTCCACTGCAGAGTGTGAATGAGGGTGACGTTTGGGGTCTCTCCTCTCTTTCAGTCGATCGCCCTCCCGTGGAGCCCTCTCAGTACATCTCTGTCCCTCCGAAGCACCCTGACAAGATGGGGTTTGATGAAGTAAGGAACCTGTTCTCCTGTTTATTGTCTTCTCACTCATCACCTGATCCTTAACATCTCTTCCAACTTAAACCATGCCATTCTGTTTTAATTCAGCCAGAAAGAGAAGGCAATGAGGAAGAGGAGAGACAGAGAAGGAAAGTGAGGCTGAAAAGCAGGTTAACTACCCCGATCTTGTGCTGTTTGCTCTGCATCTGACTCTGCAGAGCAGCTTGGCCTCCCTTCCATCTGTGACAGAAATTGGGTCTTTGCTCTCCAACTTTCCAGTGGCAGGAGGGAAGGATTTCTCTCACTTAAGAGAGACACTGGAGAGCTGAGAGCAGGTAGGGGATCCAGGCTTACAGCTGAGTTCTGGCCCACCTTGGGTACCCCCAGGGATGCCAACCATGCCTGGGGAGAAGGCTGGAGAGGGATGTGCCAGGCTTTGATTGCCTGGTGTCTGTGTTATTCCCAGAGCCAGCAGCCCCTGTGTGTGCAGCTGCCAGGGTGGCTCTGGGACCGAGGGAGTTGTGGGGATCAGGGGAGCCTTTTTCATCTTGGTGTGCTCTGCTCCATCTGTTTGTGGGGCTCCTGAAGCTGAACTCGATCCAGCTGTGTGTCTTTAAGCATCTGTGTTTAAGGCACAGCTGGTCCCGGTTTTTTCCATGTTGTCCTTTGTGGCTGTGCTCTTTTTACCCAGTTTATTATTCTTTCATTTGTACTGAGCTGAAATTCGTTCTGCTTCTTACTGAGATGAGGATTTGCCCCATGGGCTACAAGGCTGTGCTTGTACCAGCCTGCTTAGGACTGAAAGATATCCCTGAGCTCCTGAGCGTTACCTGCAAAGAGGGCAGTCCTCAGCCCTCCACCAGTCTCCTTGAGGCTTTGGATAGAGCCCTGCCCAGACATCTCTGTTCTCAGCCTTGGCTCTCTGCTATGGCAGGAATCACAGTGGATTTTCAGTGTCTGAAATAATCACAAAAATTTCTTTACTATGGCCTTGTACTTGGATGGTGCTCCACTGATAATCCTAAACCCAGGCAGTGGCAGTGTTGTAGGTCAGTGTTCCTCTAAGATTGATGCTCCAGATGGTCATGTTACTCTGTTTGATATAAACCTAAGTATCCTGTATCTTTGGAAATTAGAGACTTGGCTCTAACTCACTTTTCTTCATCCTCAAAGAGCAAGTTTCCCCCATGAACATCCATAAAAAGTAGTTGTTAGAGAAAAAGCCTCTACACTTCCAACTCAAAACCAACTTCAGCTTTTTGACAAATTCTAGGCAACTTGGAGCAAACATACATGCGGTATTTTCACAAGACCTGCTTTTCCAGTGGGGCTACTGGAAAGGGGTGGATCAAGACTTCCCTTCTCCCTCCCTCCCAGCTGGGAGTCTGATGTCTTGATGTCTTTCTCTTCTACACAGATTTTCATGATCAACCTGAAGCGTCGCAAGGACCGGCGGGATCGGATGCTGCGGACACTCTATGAGCAGGAGATTGCAGTGAAGGTAGTGGAGGCTGTGGATGGAAAGTGAGTTTTGGTTGGGCTTGAGGATGTTTTCAGAGTGCGATGTACTTTATTGCTTCACAGCATCTCCTTGGATACCCTGATCTACTTCGAGCAGGGCAGGGTTGGCTGTGGAGGAGCTGAACACCAGTTGGATCTCCCTGATCATCTGTTTGGGGCAATTCTGCTCTGTTTCTTTCCTCCTTTGCAATTAGTCAATCTCTGTGAGAGAACCAGGGCACTGAGGTTCAGGCTAGGGTCAAAATCAGGTTAAAATCACAGATTTCTGTGCATGGAGCAGTTAACTCCTGGGAATATTGTCTATCCTAGCACTACAGAGCTGTGGTGCTACAGCATTAACCTTGACACAGCCTTTTCCAAGCTTGCTCTAAGGCCTGGAGCATGTCTGTTGAGGAGCAGCTGGGGGAGCTAAGCCTGGAGAAAAGGGGCAGGGGGGACCTTCTGGCTCTGCACAACTCCCTGACAGGAGGGTGCATCCAGGGAGGGGTCGGGCTCTGCTCCCAGCGAACAAGGAAGAGGAGGAGAGGAAAAAGCCTCAAGCTGTGTCAGGCTGGACTGGGAAACTTTTCTGCACTGGGAAAAATTTCTTCATGCAAAGGGTGGTCAGGCATTGGCACAGGCTGCCCAGGGCAGTGGTGGAGGCCCCATCCCTGGGAGAATTGCTGGGTTAATGCTTGGATTTGAGGATATTAGAGCACTTTTCCAATCTTAATGATTCTATGATTCTAAGGTATGCAGACCTTTTTATAAGGAGAAATCAAGGCAGAAATTTTGAGTATGTGAGTTGCAAAAAGACCTCAAGGAGTCAGGAGCCCATGTACCATTTAATGGTCTTAGAGACTTGGGATCCTGTCAAGGCCTCAGAAAATTAATCAAAGCCAAGCACCGGGCAAGTGGATGGTCCCACAGGAAGTTTTTGGCAGAATTAAAGGTAATTGAAGGTCCTATGAGAAGTCTTCAGCAGAGTTAAGGATACAATTTATCAGTTTGATTTTTAGAGATGTTAATCAAGAAGTTAATTTTCCCCTGTGTTTTTGATCAAAACAAATGTAGGAACTTCTCAAGGTCTGGCTTTTCCCTGAACATCAGCAGCATTCCCCATGCTGTGCCTGTGTCTGGCTTGAATTGACTTATTTTTCTGCAGTGGTGATAAATACTCTCTGTTTCCCAGAACACTGAACACGAGTCAGCTCAAAGCTCTCAGCATTGAAATGCTGCCAGGATACCGGGACCCATATTCCTCCAGGCCCCTAACCAGAGGAGAGATCGGCTGCTTCCTGAGCCATTACTACATCTGGAAGGAGGTGAGGATTTTGGGATACCTCGGGGTTCCTGCAGGAAGGTGCTGTGTCCTAGTTCACAGCCAGTTTGCTGTGATGTAGTTCCTGGTGCAGAGCATTGGAGCCCAGGTTTCTGGAAGTGTAGGACAGAACTGATTACCTTGGATTGCAGGGTTTTTTTTGGATGCAGTGTTCACCTTTCACATCTCCCCTTTCCCATTCCAATACCTAAAGGGGATTCAAGAGAGGTGGAGAGGTACTTGGGGACAAGGGATGGAGGTACAGGATGAGGGAGAATGGCTTCCCACTGCCATTCGGGTCATGAGGGTGCTGAGGCCCTGGTAAAGGTTGCCCAGAGAAGCTGTGGCTGCCCGATCCCTGGAAGTTTCCAAGGCCAGGCTGGATGGTGCTTGGAGCAACCTGGGATAGTGGAAGGTGTCCCTGCCCATGGCAGGGGGTGGGACTGGATGGGCTTTAATGTCCCTTCCAACCCAAACAGTTTGAGGATTCTGATTCATTTGCCCTCAGCTCACAGTGATTTTTATCAGGACATTTTCATGACTGTTTTTGCAGTCCATCCAATATCCTGCTTGGGGCAAGCTTGCTTAGAAGAAAGGCAAGAAGGTTTTGAAAAGCAAATGGGGTTAAAGAAACACTCCTGTTTTTTTTTCCCCTTATTCTACATCTGAGCAGGAGCAAGTTCCAGTGGCTTGGCATAACATGTGTATGTCCCAGACTGGTTCTCCAGCCTCCCTGCCTCCATGGTGTGGGAGGCAATGCCAGGTCAGGGTGGTCCCAATGAAAGCAGGGCACCTATGGGGGCCACTGTGCTCATGTTGGAGTACTTGTGTTTCAGGTGGTGAGCAGGGGCCTGGAGAAGACACTTGTTATTGAGGACGATGTGCGCTTTGAGCACCAGTTCAAGAGGAAGCTCATGAAGCTGATGGATGACATCAAGCAAGCCCAGTTAGACTGGGAGCTGATGTAAGTTTCTGCTCCTCTGGGAGGTTGTGGGCACATGGGGAGGTTGCCAGCACTGCTGGGTAATGGCAGAGGTGCAGGTTGATGCTGCAGTGCAGGCGATAGTGGCACAGTCGTCTTGGTGGCTCTTCCCATCATGACAGATCTGCCCTCTGGGGTGGCTGTTGCCAAGAGTCCCCGTGGGCACCAACCCTGTGCATGGTGGACAATGTTTTACTGTGTTGGAGATTCTGACAGAGGAACCAGCACAGCTCAGTCCTGAGCCTCAGACTGTGTCATCTTAACTCCCTTAGGAAGCCTTTCACAGCTGTCCCAGCCACTGGGTTAAGACTTGGATGTCTGGTAGTAGTGTAGGATAAGAAAACTGTGAGTTGAGTCAGGGATTGCTTCTGGGACTGACCCTTTGCCCTGGCCTGGCTGACACAAATAGTCTTGTCGTAATTGCTATGGATTCACTTTGGTTCCTATCTCCTTTATCTTTTCACCCCTGAAGCTACATTGGCCGGAAAAGGATGCAGGTGCAGGAGCCTGAGAGAGCCATTCCCAATGTCCGAAACCTGGTGGAAGCTGATTACTCCTACTGGACCCTGGGCTACGCCATCTCCTTCCATGGGGCTCAGAAGCTCATCGGGGCTGAGCCCTTCAGCAAGATGCTGCCCGTGGATGAATTCCTGCCCATCATGTACAACAAGCACCCTGTGTGAGTCCCTCTGTGGCCCGGGGGGACACAGGCTGGGTCTTGCTATCTGATCTTAAACCAGATCTTGTTGGTAGCCTGGTTGGTGGGGACTCCTTGTGGTGCTTGGTTTTGTCCTCCTGGCACAGGTCAGAGGAGGTGATAGAGGGGAATTGAGCCTGCCTGGAGCAGGGCTTGTGGGCTGGTTGTCTGAGGCACTTGCCTGTCTCTGGGAACAGGCTTTGACTGCGCAGGTGTGTGTGATTGTAAGGATGTGGTACTGGCTGTACCCCAGCACCTACCCCCATTCCCAGATCACTCTGCTCCCTGGATTGGCCATGTCTCCCAGGGACAAGCTTGACACCAGTGAAGATTTCTCTGTTGCTGATGGTGTTTCTCTCCTCCATAGCACAAAGTACATGGAGTACTACGAGTCCAGAGACTTGAAGGCCTTTTCAGCAGAACCCCTTCTTGTTTACCCCACACACTACACTGGGCAGCCGGGCTACCTCAGTGACACAGAGACCTCCACCGTCTGGGACAATGAGACCGTGTCAACAGACTGGGACAGAACACACTCCTGGAAGTCCCGGCAACAGGGCAAGATCCACAGTGACGCCCAGAACAAAGACGCCCTGCCCTCGCAGTCATCCCTTGACACGCCGTCATCCAGGGATGAGCTATGACTGCCCACCTCCCTGGGACTCTGTTGACAGCTGAACCTGCCTCACACTTTAGCTTTTCACCCTTGAAAGTTGTAGAGCAGCTCTTCATGTGGTCTCCTTCCCACCACTCCCAAGGGCCGTGCACGGGATTGGACCAGACACCTGCCCAGGCCTCCAAGGACAGGGTGGGACACCAAGGAGGAAGAACAAGCGTTCCAGATCCAAACAAAAGCCCCGGCAAGCTTTTGTTAGAAGAAACCAGCCTAGAATTATGTTGTTCCACAATTCCTTGTGTAGAAGAACACTGTATTTATAAAGATTAATATATAGAGGTGTACAAATGTCAATGCCTTTTGGGATGGCTGTACCTGGGCTGCTCCCTCACTGTTCCTCCTTGTAGATCTGTAGGCTTTTACCACCCTGTTTGCTGAGCATCTGGGAGATTCGGGTTTGTATTCTAAAGGGATCCCTATCAGAAACAGGATGTTTCCCCAAAATGTTCAATGCAGAGAGCAGTGCTCCTGTTGTGTCTTCTCCCCATCACACTCCTGTACAAAACCAGTGCTGGCTTCCCATCAGCTCATTTTTAATCTTGCTGCATCCCATCTAAACAGGCCTCTGGATCCAGAATGGATGTCTTGGAATGTCTGAAGTCATGGAAGCCATGCAAGTGGTGGTGGCTGGATTTATTTGTCTCTGCACTGCCTGAAGGGAACGCAGGCAGAGTTGGTCCATGTCACATCCTGCTTCACCCCTGCCTCAACTTAGTCCTTCAGGAAAACAAAACCCCCATGACCTATTGGTAGACCTGTTTATTTAGGTCATAAAAGCAAGTGTAGGAGTTTTGAGAACTTAAAATGTAAAAAGTTGGGCTACAAACTCTCCTTATAAAACCAAAAGAACCTACAACGTTAGTCTCTCTACAGCCCGATAGAATTGTGTGTTACAGGACGCAAAGGCGACTTGCCTGGATAATTTCTCATGTGAGGAGCAAACTTTTCTGTGTTTTGGATGAGTTCTGATGTTTTTGCTGTTGGCTCACATGCCAGCAGGATATGGTGTTTATTTTTTTAAAAAAACCTTTCTCAGAGGCCAGGTGACAACAGACTATACTGGCACAGACCCTGAACTTCTGGACAGTGGGAGGATTCCCTCCTGGAATTGCCATCTGGGGACTCACCTGTTGGCAGATCTGTGCATTGAGTATGTGTGGCTGGGGTTTTGGTTTTAATTTTTGTTTGTTTTGAATAATTACTGATCAATGTTGTGCTTTCTGCTGCAGAAGACATGCTATTACCTGTCAGCCGGTCTGATAATACATAGAACCTGGTGCAAGATGAGCAGCTGTTTGTGTTTTTCATTGCATGGGAGTGTCCTGGAGTGGTTTGGGTTGTGGAAGGCACCTCTAAAGGTCCCAGTCCAACCCCCTGACATGGGCAGGGACCCCTTTCACTAGACAAGGTTGCTTCAAGCCCCCTCCAGCCTGACCCTGAATGTTAACTGGAGGTTAACAGAAGTCCAGCTCAAGGGATTCTTGGCTGTGTCCCTCCCCCTTGGAGTCACTGGTTGTATAAAAGTGCCCATTCTGCAGTTCCCACCTGAAAGCCAAATTTCTGCTGGTGTCCATGTGGGAGCAGATGCCCACATGACCTGGTGAATCTAAAGATGGCACCATGGGCCCAAACAGAGCCTGGGTGATTCCTTCCTCACAATCCCTCTTGCTTCTTCTGCAGGTCTCTCACTTCATGAGCCCACATGGCCTGCGTGAAGGACACTGGAAGTCCCAGAGGTGTTGGTGAGAAGCTCCTGCAGGAGCAGGGCTCTGTGACCAGGTGAGCATCCAGCACTGTCAAGTCACTGTGGATATGACAGCCATGTCTCTTCCACCCTCATGCTTTTTTTTCCATGACCCACCTCAGCACCTATGAGCAGCCTCTCCTTCCTTCATTCCTTCCACCTTGCTGTGTGCTGACATCATTTTCCTCCATCAGCATGGGGTGCTCCTCACCAGCAAACAAAGCATAGATTTTAAAAAATGCAAGGTATCTGAATTGTTTTATACCTGCATTTATCCCTGTTTTGTTTTTTTAACTTCATTCAAATAATGAAAGATGGACATCGTCACTTGCACAGCCTTGAACTGGAGCATCTGGGGTCCTTGGCCTCATAGCCAGCCCCTGCAGCCAAGGCAGGGCAGGGACACATGCATGTGGGGATGTGTCAGCCTGGGACAGAACTGCTGAAAAGTGGAGCTGGTTAGGGAGCTCAGGGAACCCGAGTTTGCTTTAACTCTGATTTCCTTAAGCAGAGTAGTAGTTTATGAAAAACAACTTTTACAACAGGGCTAGGGTTTTTAGCTTGGGGGTTTTGTGAATGTTTTTCCTTTTAACTGACTTGAGAAGTGAGTGGCACTGGGGACTTGATGATGGTTTCAGGGGAGGGCAACAAATGAAAGATATAAGAATTAAATGCCTGTGTCCATTTCAGAGCAGACAAGGACTCAATCTTGCTGATTGGTCCTTTACCATGTCTGTGTGTGTGTTTATGTGTGTGTTTATACATCCACAGTTCTCCATTTATTGATATAGGCAAGACCTGGGTGCTGCCAGTGGTTCTACCCGTGTGACAAGTGCTGTTCCCTGGGTGTATTTTCAGTTCCTTGGCTGGTGCTGCTCAAGCTTTGCTCTCTGAGAATTAAATGTTTTTTTTGAAAAGTAGGAGCCACTTAAAACACCTCTGGATTTTTCTGGTGTTTTTCTACTTCCACGTACTTATTTTTGTTACGGTTTGAGGAGGATGCCTGTACACAAAAAACTTGGGATGCAATTGTGATTGCAAAGCAAATTTATTTTATTAGTTGTGGTAGGAAATAACACATACCAACTCCTGAATTAGTGAAAAGCTGCTGAGCATGAAGGAGATGGAGCATGGTGCTCAGGCAGGAGGGGCAAACAGCCTGTGCATCTTCAGAGGGCATCCCCTGGATCGAAGTGGTGTGCATCTTGTTCTCCTCACCTCCTCCACTCCAGAACCAAGCCTTATATCTCCTCCTCTGGAGTGGAATTTTTCTAGTTATGACGTCATCTCACACATGGCCAGTGTGTGAGATGAGGCCACAATGGTTCCTGATACCACCTCCATGCTAACAACAGCTCCATTGTGCATTGTTCCTCTTTTACAGGTTAAGTTCCTATCAACTGACCAATACATTGTTTCTCTTTCAAGGGTCAGGTTCCCACCATCAAAGCATTCTTCATTATTCTGTTGACTTGTACAACCATGGGCCAAATACAGCAGTGCCTTAGATGCAACTTGGGTCCCTGATACAACTTGGAATTTTTTTTTATTCATCTAATGGGTTTCAAAACTGAGCATGAACACCAGCTTTGAACCAGCATTCTGGCAGTTTCTTCATAAGCAGGCTGTGGTGGCAGGCCCTAAAAATGATTAATTGCAATAAGCCTGCTTGGAACCCACCAGCTTGATCTTTGCTTTGGGTTAAGGATGTAAGTGAAGTGCTGTAATGACTCTCAATATGGCATGTGAAATTCCAAGTTCACCAATGGATCCTGAAGGAAATGGAGTGAGGTTCTGGTGTTGGGTTTTGTGGCCTGAGGTAGTTTAAAAATCAGATTTAGGTAGTCTTTGTTTTGTCTTCCTCAGTGTAACATGGGAAGTGCCTTTAAGTGGCCAGAGCAGCTATAGTTCAGGGACTGAGTGTGACACTTCTGGGCAGCTTTAGGAGCCTCCCCTCATGTTAAAATGATTTGTGAAATGGCAAAAGGGGCTGTTGTGTGTAAATTGTTCATCTGAATGTTGGCATTATATGCAGGGAGGGAAAAACACAACAAGTCAATGATTGGGCTAGCAGGAGGAAAAACACCATGATTGAGACAATGGGGATAAATGGATACCCTTCTTTTGTAGTATCTAGCCTCAGAAGTCATTCAGTAACTTGAGAGAGTATGATTTTATGCAGAAGACATAAAATTGGTGTGCAATCTCTATTACCCAGTTACAGAAATCTTTAAGCTGAAACCTCAAGAAATAGCACACAATATCCCTATCTTTCACAGGCTGTGTGTGTGGCTGATGCACTGGGTGGGTTTTGGCTTTGCTGTTGAGAAGTTAAACAGTAAAAGTGGAGAAGTTGAAGAAAGTGATAGCAAGGGAAGTAGTATGAGGTGTTTTTACACATCTGACATGCACTAATAAAAGGAAATTGACTGATTCCAGGCAAATATTAATGAAAAACAATTTATATACTTATCATATAAAGATTACAGGTAAGCAGTTAAAAATGTAACATATATAAACATTTGGAAAGTGTAATTTTAAAATCCAGAACATTCATGTTTCAGCTTAATACTGCCATACACCCTCTCAGTGAGCAGTACTATATACAGTAGGAGCAATGCTATGTACACAAGCAACTGCATTGTCCAGGCACCAAAAGCAGAGAAAACTGAACTTCTACTTTTGCCCTAACTCTGGGCAAAGATTAAGGCTCAGTAACAACCCCCCCATCTGTCACTCTCTAAACAAATAACTGGAATTCATAAATTGTTCAGAGTGTGACCTACACCAGGCTTGTGGGACCTACCACAGGACTCCTGGATGTACAGTAGACCTACTGTACAGTCTGTTTTACCTGCCTGTAAACAGAAGTGATAAATCCAAATGTAGTGTAAAACTTTTGTTTTGCAAATTAGTGCCACAGAATTGGGGGAAAACGGCCCAGGCGTGGATAACAATTTATTTTAACTAATGATCCTTAATAATCCTAAGCTATCTGCATGGATAATAACTTCTAGATTTGCACAGTGGGATGCACAGTGCTACCACCAGAACCAGAAATACTGTATGTATTTCACATATCTCAAATCAGGGCTGCTTACAATCCAATGTCTTACTTATGGCTTTTAAACGTTCAGTTCCAACAGAGGAACTGCACACTGGGAGGATGTCTGTCCATCACATGGGATGCACACAAAAGGCACTGATTTCTGGTCCATCGCTTAACCGAGTCCAAGGGAAACCATCCTGTTTAGGATGGTTAAGACCTCCATCCAACACAAAGTAGTGTCTGTCCCATTCATGATGGTCATGCAAAGGCAAGTGCAGTTCATTTTTAAGTTCAGATGATCTTCTATATAATACTGGCATGAAGGAGACTCTTCTCTCATTAACAGAGTTGGCTCATTGAGTGTCTTCGAAACAAATGGAGCAGGCTGGAGCCTTTGCACCAGGGCTGCCCATTGCTCCAGTTGCACATTTTCAACAGGGAATTCTGACAGATTCTCTGTAACCCAGGAGGGCAGCGCAGGGGCAGCCTCAGCCAACCAGCTCTGCCTTCTTCCGCAGGATGAAGTCGAAGTTCACGTGGCTGTTCATGCCATAGAACACGTTGGCATCACGGGGGAACACCAGCTCTGCAGAACAGAGCCAGAGCAGCATTAGTGGGCTGCACAGTGGCAGGAAAGCTGAGGGAGCAGAGGGAGCAGGATGGTGTGGGCAGGGCTGTCTCCCCGTTCTGCCACAGCAGCATTGGGAGCAGCTTCCTGCAGGAAAGCAGGGTGGGGGGTGGCAGGCTTAGGCCAGGCTCAGCCTGGCAGAGGCCCTAGCAGACTGTTGGAGAAGGTTGATGATGGGTGGGATCCGAAGGCCTGGTCCCAGGGGAGGCAGAACATCACCCCCACCCATGATCCTGTGATCATTCTATGGCTGCAAGGCACACACAAAGTCAGCCTGGCACCCCAGGAGCTGGCTCTGCCTGTGCTGACAGAAACCACCCTGAGCAGCCAGAGGATTGTCACTGAATGTGACCTGTCCACAGCATTTCTAATGCTTCCCATTTTAATCTTTCCTTTGAAATCCAACAGAACTTTCCAGGCAGCAGCAGAGTTCTGCTTCCCTACCTTTGTCCTCAGAGATGACCTGCACAAGCTCGTAATCTTCAACTGCATCAGGCTCGAGGTTGTGCTTTAGTAAGGCTCGCTGGGTGACATTAGGGACTCTGTCTTGGTTGGTTATCTGGAAAAATAAGGTGCAATGAAAGATTTTTCTCATTCACTCTCATGATTTAGTAGTTAGCAAAAACCTGACTGCTTGTTCTTGGAAGAGATGTCACAAAACCGAAAAAGCAGGTCAGTAACAAAGGGGCAGGTGCTGACAGATACTAAACTTACTGTTTATGACATTTGGAGGTGGTGGCTTTTTAGTTCAAGCTGAAAGATACAGTATAATAGAGGCAGCAGTAAATCCCAGTGTCTCCTCCCTTTGAGACCTCATTCTCACCAGCCACAAAAGTCCCCATGAAAAGCTGCCCCAGCTGCTGTTTACAGGCTCCTGTGCTAAGCGTGTCCTTAGACATCCTGCAGAGCTCTCTGGCCTTGTTTGTTGTGTGCTGTGGAAATGCATCTGAGGCAGATACAGGGCTCCTCCAGAGCCTCCTTCAGTCTCACCAAGAGCCAAATCCATTAGGCCCTTAGGTAACAACTTGCTGGATTTGGGGAAGCGAGACCATTAAAATCGGGAACTGGAGGTGCTGAAAACCCCACAGTTGTTTTCCCCCAGCAGGCGCTGAGAGTCCCCAGCTGAGCTAAGCCACATCACCCATGGTCCAGTACCAGTGGCACTGCTGGGATGTATCTGTGGAATAAGCAGAGAGAGAAATGCCTGAATTCTGGGGTTGCTGGTCTGGTGAGAGGAGGGCGATTCTCCCTTCACAGGGAGAAGCTGAAGAATTAAAGGCCTTGTCAACTCCCTACCCTGCAGCTCCCCGTTTCCGGAAACCAGCTCCTGGGGAAAGCTGATCCAGAGAAAATGTACTACCTTATGTCAAAACCTCAGTGTGCTCACAGTGCTTCATCTGGAGCTTTTTGATAGAACACAAACTTCCATTTCCAGACTAGAAACTTCCCTAAAGCTGTTGCCAAATATCTCATTCCTACCAGGCTCCACACATTCTGCATGGCACCATGTGCCATTTTCTGTTTCCAGCCAGGTTTGATGAACCAGCTCAGTGAAGGGGTGTTCTCCAAACACAGTGATAGGTTCAGTCATCCCCCCATGGACACATCTGCCAAGCCCAGAGCCGTGCCACTCACCAGGATGCTCTTGTAGACGCTAGCATGGAGCCCATCCATGCTGACCCGGATGATGCATGAGCCCTCACTCTGTCGGTTGTACACAGGCAGCACTTTGGTGGCACTGCTTGCCACTGAGCCCGAGTCCCTGGTGGGAATGGAGCCACTGTCCAAGCCCGAGCCAGGGTCAAAGATGGAGACTTTGCTGGAGCTGGAGCCCTTGTCAGAGCTGATGGAGCCCTTGTCAGAGTCATAGCCCTTGTCAGAGCCCACAGAGCTCTTGTCGTCGTTGGAGGCCTGCAGCAATGAGGGTAAAGATGACATCCCTGAGGAAGGTGTGCTCATGGACGAGTCAGGAGAACAGCAGGGTAAGGGGTAGTCAGAGATCTGCACAACAGAAAGGAAAGTGCTGTCATGAAGGGGACATTTGGTGTGTCTGGGTTTTTCATTGTGCCAGAGGACCAAGAGAAAGCAGAAGGCACAGACAAAACCTCACCCACACTCTGCTGGCAGGGAGATTCCTTGCCTCCAAGAAAACTGAACTTTACTTGATTGATTACAGCATTTTAATGACAATTTCTGTCCTGCTGGGGGTTGGTCTGGCCTCGCAGTAAGAGCAGCCCAGGAGGTGGCAGCAGATCCAAGGAACAGCATGAGGCTGTAGGCAGCCAGCCAGGAACTGGGACCGGCTGGGAATGAGCAAGGGGGTGTCACAAGCACTCCTCGTCCAGGTGAGAGCCTTTACACAAGTGGAAATACACACACCCCTCCCTCTCTGCCATTCTGCTTGAAACTGCCCCCTTCCTTCCCAGGCTCAGCCTTTGCCTTTGTCTCCCTCTGCCTTGCTCAAAGGCTTCCTAACAGGAACAAACCCGCTTTGTAAGGGACAACACAGAACATTGTGCGAGAGCCCTGACTGGATTACTTCCATTTTTACAAATTTCTCTCTCCATTTCACTAAAACCAATGCTCTAGTCAAGACCAAGAGCCTTGGATAAGTGTCTTAGGCCTGCCTGCAGTGTGCAGTGGCCTCAGCTGTACCTTTTTCAGAGGGTCCTCAGGACTAGAGACAGGAGTCACAAACACATCCTCAGTTTCAGAGTGATTAAACTCACACGATGAAACACTGGCTGAATCCGTGCTTTCCCCAGAGCTCCCTCCTACAGGAGAGCTCTTTGGGGGTTGTTCTTTGGGTGGAGTGAACACATCGGTGCCCAGAAAAAGTCTAATATAGAAAGAAAGCATAAAAGCCAGTAAGTGAGAGCTGGGCTGAACAAAGCTGTCCCTTGGTTCAGAACTCTTACAGTTCTGGAGTTTTTTCCTCTCTGGAGTGGCCTGTTGTTTTCACTTCCTCTGTGGTGTTTATACAGAGGCTTTGTTACAGGCTAACACACCTTCCTGACCCAGAGTGCCCACAGCTACAAGGCCACAACCAGCTCATGCCTCACTAGAACAACAGTCTCTTCATATTTTCAGGCTCATTTAATAGAAAAAAGGGCTTCCAAGGGTAAATTCACCCCACTGCCAATTCCTGCCCTCAATCATGGCACCACTGGTACCAGGTTCTCTCTAGAAGGCTGGAGATGCACACAATAGGGAGATTCTAAAGTATAAATTAAAGGCACTCCCTCTCTGAGACTCATTTCTAAATGCAGGTCAAGTGACTTGAAAGAAATGTCAAAGGAAACAGGCTGGTCTGACCCACCAAGAGGAGGAGCAGGGAGCAACAGCATGCAGTTAATGATTTCATACAGCTTAAGACAGGTGTCACTCACTGCTTTTCTACAGTATTCAGCTGCAAAACACATTCAGAGTGAAGATATTTTTACTTCAGTCTTTGAGCTCTGCTTTATTCCATGCAGCTTTCCCTGCATTCCTGGTAGCCTCTTGTTTCCCATGTCCAGCTCCATGGCCCTATCCTCTACCCACCTCTCGTTTGAATCTTCATGGTATTACACCAAAGTGGACCATACCCCAAGATTTTTTTTTCCCCTTCTCCAGCTGGAAGGCAGATTGTTTCTGCTATCAAATGCCTTTTTGCTAACCTTAATTTTCATGTTAAAATCCTGCAATGAATTTTTACATGTGTATAGCAATTTTGACTAATAATAGACCAGACTTTATCCTCATTTATTCTGTTTTCCTGCTGCAATCAGCAAAGTTATTACACAATAGGTACTGAATTACGATCAGCACTAAAATGGTTCCTTTTTTTGACACCATAGGAAGGATTCTTTATTCTAGTCTCTTTTATCTTTAATAATCCTCATGACTGCTTCTAGCAACACAAAGGGGCAGCTTCAGCCACAAGGCTGCATTTCTCCTTAAAGCAGTGCAGCGTTGTGGATCCCCAGCCAGGTTCCACAGCTGATTAAATGGGCACTGCTTGTTTGAGTTGTCCAGGTCCATACTCCCACCCAAGACCTCTCTGCCCCATCATACTCACGTGCTGATCCTCTTCACCATGCTTTTCTGGGATTTTGGAGACAGGATGTTGGTATCAGCAGCTGCTTCAGCCTCACGTGAGAGTTTGTAACTGCAGGGCAGAGGCCAGCAGGTGAATATTTGCAGATAATGTTATTTAGTTGTACAGTGTCATGTAGTTGTACATCTCACAGCAGCAATGTTCAAGAAATCCAAGAATCTTTCAGTTTTTCCCGCCTCACAGAAGGTTGCAGCACCACAAAGAGGAACACTGCTCTGCCTGCATTTTACCAGGGCCACGAGGATATTTCACCTTATAATGGGTTTTAAAACTAGTGCTCTCCAGTATTTGTATTTTCCTGCCATGACCTGCCCAGGTGTGTGTGTGGGGTTAGGGTTAGGGTTAGAGAACAGAGGTTTGTCAGCTGCACTGAGGACCTACCTCTCCTCCTCTGTTAAGTGTCGCTGCCTCCTGAACCAATGAATGAATTTTTGGTCTGGTATCAGGCAATAACTGTTGCATGAGGATTGCAGGAGCTTGATTTGGGCAATAACTTCAAATTCCTAAGAAAATAAATAATCAAACAGAAAGTCAAATTGGAAAACAAGATTATATTAATTCATACTCTGAAAACATACAACAAGCAATCCAGGACAAACTTAGCTTGATGTGAAGTTCAGTTTCAGTCGAGTATTTCAAGAACCAATTTTTTCTAACAATAAAGGTCAGGATTTTTCCCTAGGATCCATAATGTGCACTCACATGCTCCATAGGAACGTAAAATGCTACCTTTAACGCACATGACCAGAGTGAGCTGCTCTTCTGTAATTGAACTTGTACACACACTTTACCAGAATAACCCTGGATTGTTTAGGGCAGGTTATTGAGCAGTTAAGGGGAGGAAATGGCTCCATCTCAGCCAAGTCCAAGTCTGCTTTCAAGCCCCAGGATGGAGATTTGGCCTCACTTCATTCAGCCCAAAGTAACCCAAACACCTTTACTCCTACAGGACATTACTTATCTCTGACCAACAAAGATCAGGCCAGAAAGGAGAAGAACTGACAGCATTTATTTCTCAGTCTTCTGTACCTGGTTTGCTATCTGCAGCCTTTTACCTACAAAGAGTTTCCTGCAGGAGAAGGAAGATATTTACTTAACTGTGTGTTCTGGAAAGCAAAGGTCTTCTGCCACCAGGTTTGGTTCAGCTCCTAAAGACAAATGCTCAGAGGCTATCAATAAACCAAAAATCACAGAACATTCAACTCACCCTTCGTCTCTTCTCAAAGTTGATCAGGCCACCCTGTTGAAAGGTAAGAGAAGGGATCAGAGAAGAGCCAGACTTGTACCTTGAGATAAACGCACAAAAACTCACACAAGCACACAAGTTCTAGTTAATAATACTGCATATTGCTTCCCTTTTCTTTTTGTAAACAGATATTTTAAGAGCTGCAGAAGAAGATACAGAAACAAGTCATCTGAGTTGGGAAGGCTGAGAAGGTATTTAGCATTCCAAAAAATTGCCACAAGTTACCTCAACATAGTCCTGAAGGGCTGTGTCAAGCATGATGAGATCAGTCAGGAAGGTGCCGAGGTAAGGGACTGTGCCTTGCATCACTCCCTGCAAGTGAGCAGAGCAGCTCTCGATTAATTAACTGAAAAATGAGAATAATTAGAATTCCTTAACATTCCTGTGTAAGAAAATGAAATTAAAGTAATCTGCTTAACCAAGCATCAGTCTTATAATTATGTTTTCTTCCATTACATAATTTTCATTAGATAATCTAGAATTTAAATCCAATTCCAGTGAAACCACAAGGCTCTCATAGGTATCAGCCATTGGTTTTGTATTACAGTATTGCCACCTTTGATTCACAACAGTGGGTCCCCAGGAAACCCTGCCTTTGGGAGAAGCATTGAGGAGAAGGGACAGGGTCCCTCTGCCACCTGCTGCAAGAGAAGGAGCTGGGGAATGATCCTGGCTAGCCTGTGTGAGCAGTTTCTGTTTCATCCCCATGGATTTTTACTTAATGATGTGTGATTATATCTTGTGATAGTGAAGTCAAATCAATCCACAATTTTTTTCTCTCCAAGAAGTGACCATCGTCCCCAGCCATCCAGTGCATTTTAATGCTAAGTATTCACACTTTAAACTTCTAGACTGACAGCACTTAAAGAGTTCCGGCTGGCTATACACTTGTGAAGCAAACACTTGTTTCTACCATCCAGAAGGATCTGTATTTTTTCCAAACAAATACAAAAAGACAAAAATCATATTCAGCACTTTTGCCTCCCTATTCCAGATTTCTCTCCCCCTGTCCTTTTAAATCTTTGCCAGCTTGGAGACAAAAAACATTTTCACCAGCAGACCTGAACCCAGACACGTTTTACAAAGCAATCTCTGTAGAAGCATGTGCAGTTTTCAAGCTGGTATGTCAGAAGCTTCATCAGCATGTTTGAAAGTAAATGAGACTTCTGCTCTGGCAGAACTAATTTTCTTTATTTACAAGAACTTCAGTATTCACAGCAGCACATAATTTATTACATGGAAATTGTGTTTCTCTCTGAAGTGTAACAAGAGTAGATAATGGAACTCTTTCTTGTAGGACCGAAACAAGAGAGCTGAAAGTGATGACCGCATGTTTATATCCATCAATCCCCTCCTGCCCACTCACTCTGGTGAAGACCTTTCTAGATTTCGATTCTTATAGAATTGACCAATTAGGATTAATCATGTTACCAGTTCAAAAAGGGGAGGAAAACCCCCCAAACACACCTTGTTTTTTTGAAGTTGAAGTCGCTTCTGTGACTTTTTCTGATTTTCTTTCTCACTGCTGTCCAGATTCGCAAATTTGGATGTTGCTTCCTGTGAGGTGGAAGAGAATTAAAGGCAATTAATGGAGGATCCAAGTGGTAGATAAACTGCCAACTACATGCATGCAAAATATTAAGCACATTTAACCAGACTAGCCAGCAAAAAATACTTGCTGTGCAGACACACGTGTCTATATACATATTGATTTCCTGGGACTCGGATGCTGATTGAGAATTTCAGACAAAAATTACACAAGATGAATGTGAGGAAATTTTTCTGCAGAATGACTTTGGCCAAATCCAAGTGCTGCTGAAAATCTCTTGGGAGTTTAAATCAGAGAAGCTCAGACATACTTCAGGGGTCCTGATGATCTATCCAACACTCCTGAAGTCAGGATTTCTGGCTAATTACCTAATCAGGCCTGCTATAAGTAAATATCTCCATCTTATGTAATGCTTTGTTGTTTTTCTTAAGCTGCAACACTGAGATCCAGCTACTGTGGCTTACTGACTAATCCAAAACCATGCAGGAAATTAAAGGACTAGGTTTCCATCACAACTCCAGCATTCCTATGAATGGATGAGATATTTCACCGTAGTTCTTTAAACCTTTATTTCCCTGGATGCATGGGGGATGTTGGAGTTACATATTTCTTCCAGTGGTTGCATAGATGTGTCACAAATCATTATCAATGTCTGTTCAGGAGGAGAGAAGACTGTCTGCTCTCCATGCCACCCAATCTGTTTCCAGTGACATTTTGTTTGCTCCACACTTGGATTTGCAGGAGAGACAGGCAAGGTCAAATATTACATCCCTTACAGGGGCTATTTATAGCAAAAGGGAAACTAAGTCTTTGAGGATTCAGTGAATATTAATCCTCCAAATGGTCCAAGATTAAAAGTAGGGAGAGGTTCTAGCTATTTTGTAGGATCTTTCTCCTCTCACTGCTTCCAAAATGTTTTTCAAATCTACTTAGGGCAGCTGGAGGGTGATTTACTGGGAGCCAGAGGTCTGGGCTCAGTCTGAGTTGTTTTGTCTTTTAATACTTAGTTAAATAGGCTGCTCTGAACATGCAGTTTCCCTCTATGCTTATTATAGTCTCACCTGCTTTTAAATTTACCGACAGATGTTGATAAATGATTATAAACAAAACAGACTGACAGATGCGAATGTGTTCACCCACCATTCCTGAGCAAAAAACAGTGTTTCGGATCCTAAGGCAAGAGGCTGAGGGATAGATGCCAAACTGGCTGGACAGAACTGCCAAAGAATAACTGGTTAGAGAGTTTATAGGAACTGTTTTATGTAAATGGGAATAACCTGCCACAAATATTCCTTAGTTTTTGCAGAATATAACCTTTCCCTGCCATTTCTCCTCACCCCTTTCAGGCTCCTGAGCTTACTGAGGTTCACCCACGAGAGTGGGTAAGTCAAAATGTTCCACACAGAGCCCGCTTTACTGTCCATCTGGCCACACACAGGGTAGGAAGCCTGTTCCTTTGGAATTCCCAGCCCTGCTTCCTTGTTCTAAGAAAGGTAGAGGATAGTGGGATAAATATCTTGGATTGATTCCTCAGTTGAAGCTGTGGCATTGTTCCAGTGACCTCATGGGCTGAGGGGCTGCAAGACATGCTGCTGACCCAGATCATGCTGCCAAAACCTGCTGCTTGTGGCTATCCAGGCTAAAGCTACTGATTCATCCAGGAACAAGGAAATCAACTTTCAGCCCAGCAAAAGGTTCAGGTTTTACAGACTGCTCTTCCCTAAAGCACCACATAAGATCCTTAAGGAAGAAATGAGCTTTGGCAGCTGGCTTCAAAAAGGGTTAAACCTCAGATTTTGTTGAGATCACAAGCTTTGAATTCACTGGTTCTCACCTTCATCAGCAGCTCCCTACTTGTCAGATAATTGTCATGATCTGAGAAGATCTCAGACAGCTCTTCATACATCAGCAGGATGTCCCTGCACAGGAGAAGATTAAATCATTTGCGTCATTACCAAGCACTCTAGAATCCAATCAAGTTTCTGTTTCTCGCTCATTAGTCGTTAACAATTCAACTTATAAAAGATAACGACACCAAAATACATCCAGTGAGATGCTGCACATCTCCGGGGAGCCCTGGTGGGATATTCTGGTGCTCCAGTTGAGCCTTATCTGACAGCAAAGAAACACCATCAGCAGTCCCTTGGCAGGGCTTTCAACTGTCTGTGCAGTGTGAGAATGGATCAAGGGATACAAAGGAACAGAAAAACAGCTGAGAGGGAACCCAAGTATTAATTTTTGCCCTATTCCGTGCATTCTGGAAAGCTGGAAGCATTTAAGTGAGTAGCTTTTTGCCCAACACTATGAACACAAGGTAGGCAATATTTTTATCAGAAACACAGGGCAGCAGAAGGAAAATCACACCTCTGTGGAGAGGAAATACAGAAGGATACTGCCTAGCAGAGTGATATTTTAAGTTATCAAAGGCAAGAAATCTTGTTTCCCCCAAACTAAATGAGCAAAGCACCATCTTTTCTAGACAGCAGCTTCTGGCATCTGTGGGGCAGGCAGTAAATATTATTAACACAATAGAGTATTCCCCTGGAAGAAATACTGTCTTCAATACCAGATTTTGTAGTTTGAGAATATATTTTATGCAAATATCAGCACCAGGAGAAGAGTTGGGACAATTTGTAGCAAGCTAGATCTCCTCAAACTTTATGGGAGAGAAGACAACAAGCAAAGATCATGGTGACCTGGGAGCAGTGAGCATAAGCTGGGTGAGAAGTCAGTGCCATGGTTTATCTAGAGAGGTTGTGAAAGACCCAATATGCTAAAAAGGACAGAATCCAGTACCCCCAAGGGCCAATTGTCCCCTCAACAGGAAAGAAGAGCTCACAGGAGGGGTCTGAGCCTCCCAGGAATTGGAGGTTCTTCTGACAGGACCCATATCAGTGAAGGAACAGAACAGGAAGAATGAGAAGATGAAAATAAAGAGCACTGAGCCCTGTGGCCTTTGGGAATTGAGGGAGAGACTTACTTTGAAACACACATCCAGGTGGTCTTCAGCCGATAGATGGAGTTGGACTGCAGAGCTGAAATGATGGCCCTCAAGGAGGAAAAATTCTTCAGGATCCTACATTCCTGTGAAAAGAGCAGTTGGAAACACAGAAGCATCAAATGTCAGCACTACGCAGACCTTAGTATTCCTCTTTCTGAGCCCTGCCATGCCTGCTACACATTCTCACTGCTGAGCAGCAGCTGTGCAAATACTGAGCATCAAAAATATCATTCCTCACTCTAGCCACTAAACACATCACAAGCTTTGGCATCTAGGTCTTGTTTTCCTCACTTTCATGTACTTGTGGTGTCACAGCTTCCAGTTGCCAAGTAAAAATAAAATTGGAACTGAGTTCATGAAGGCATGGTGAAAGGCACAAAGGTTACACTTCTTAAAAAGCTCTTTATAAGTACTAATCCCTTTTACCCCTTTGGGAGAAAACCAGGCTTTGCCTCTTTATATGTGGTATTTAAAATGTAAACCCTCAATCATCTCAGTGTCAATTAAAAATAAAGATATGCAAAGGAATAACCTGTTATTCAAGTATGTGCACACTGTTAAAAGAGAAAAACCTTCCCAGCTCTTACAGAGTTGGGATCAAATCTGAACAGAGATACTGGTTCATGGACGTGTCTTATACACCTACTCTGTGGCAAAAGCTTGGGTGGAAAAGGATAATGAAAAACTCAAAAAAGTAGCACAGATTACTCATAAAGCAGAGGGAAGAAAGAGGGAAAGTCTGGGGCCAAAAAAAAATCACATAACAGCTCTTCTACAGAGACTGACATGTTAAAGAATGAGACCTTTCTTTTTTGTTCAACCTGAAATTTAGGTTGGGGAAAACATGAATTTAGAGGCACAAATTATCAATTTTTCTTCTTTCTTCACAGTACAACAGGAGTTTGAACTGGAAGATCTAATTTTGAACCATCCTGACTTAACTGGATGCTGCAAAATTTAGAGCACAGTAGGAATTTTATTTAATACTGGATTTAGTGTTCTCAGTGATTCAACTGACTGCAGACTAAACTTGAGCAAGCTTCCATTTGCATGTAAGAATAATTTTTAAGACTGGTTTTAATAACTTAGTTTCATGTTGTGTCCTTCACAGAAGGAAAACCAGAAAGAATCCTGTGCAGAAACAGCTTTGATTTAAAAAAATTTAAGCATAACAGGACATAAATTATTTCATTTTTACTTCTAATTTTTAAAGAAAATACTGTTTGAATGCAATTGGCTGTTCAGGAACCTTAGATCTAGGTGGAAAGGGGTGGCAGTAGAGAAAATATTCAGTTTATCTTTTGAACTGAGAAAATGGATCCGAAAGCCAAGGAGAACAAATGTGGACTCCATGCTGCTGAGTTTAGCTGTCAGTGAATAACTCCACTTTAATGTGTGGATTATTTTCTACTTCAGGCACCTAACTGTTCAAAACACTCATCTGCATGCACAAAGCATATATCTTTCTTCAGAAGTGGGCAGCTAAATTTATGTGCACCCAGCTGCTGTACATGTGCCATTATTCTGCAGTGTGCACATACATTTTTCATGCGTTTCATGCTAGGACTGGAGCATTTAATGAATTAAGTAAAGGGAGAAGCACAGAAGGTATGAATTAAGTAAAGGGAGAAGCACAGAAGGTATGAATTAAGTAAAGGGAGATGCACAGAATCAACAGGGGTGTAGAACAAAGTTCTCTATCCACAAAGAGAGGAATGAGGGCAGTGCCTTTCCTGACTTCCCCAGGACTCCCTTCTGCCTTGGGATGATGATGAAGTTCTGTCCAGCCTGCCCCAGGAAGAAGGCCCTTTTAGCTGGTGCCCTCTGCAACTTAGATCTGCATGTAGATATTGGAAATCAAATTTCCTAATCCCTTCACACAGGCAATAAAGCATCCATCAGATGATGATAAAAACAAGCAGATATAAGTGCCACAGGAGAGGTCCAAAACTTTCACCATGCTAGCTTCCTGAACCATGCAGTTGCCAGAGCTCAGGTGCCAGGACTGAATGCTGCCTCTGGAAGCATATAAGTTGCCACACTTTTTCTGACTGTTCTGCATAGCTCAAAAAGAATCCACATGATTCTTAGAAGTCAACACACATCCACATGGAAGTGCTTGAAATCATCTCTTCCAGAGAGGTCTTGTTTATTGCCAGCTGCCCAGTGCCTGAGGGGAATTAGGAAAGTTACAGTAAAATATTAAAACCTAGGAAATTAGCAAACTAGAGTTATGGAAAGCAGGCATGGGAAAAAACCCTTCTTGCAAAGATTAGGAAAAACATGATAAAAACATAGAATCTGCTACAAGATCCTCTTGGAAGCTCTGCTGATGCACATGGAGGACAGGGAGGCGATTCCACATGCTGTTGAAGTTCTGCCTGTCCAGGCCAGTGGCCTCCCAAGATGGAGTGATTCCATCAGTGGACAAGGGAAGAACTACTGATATCAGCTATCTGGACTTCTCTAAGATTTGGCATGGCCAAGTATCAACCCCATTTCCATGGTGGGAAAGAAGTGAGGAGAGGAAGGGCAATATTCATTTGGTATCACAAAAAAATCAGTTAAAAATTGAAAGAGCTAAGATGGCCTTGGACCAATGTATACAATCCCTTTCTCCTCTCCCAACTCCTTCACTCCAAGACACCCAAAAAACATTAAACAGAATAAATGCTTTACATGTGCAATTTTAATCCACTTCTCAATGATCTTGGCTCTCTGCTGGATTTTGAGCTCCCTGGTCCCCAGGATAGTGCTGATGACACATTTAGTGACTGCATTGAACTGAGTGATGGTGGCCCTGACAGTTGGAGCCAGGTTCTTGTTTTCCTTCTTATCCCTTTGAGACCAGATGGATCCCAAACAGTGGTAGGGCACAACTCTTCTGAAGAGCATCTAGAGTGAAACAGAGGTGTGGTAAGCCAGCAGGTTTCTCCTAAATCTCTTTTATCTACAAGAAGAAATACAGGTTTAGAGGACAAATTTGATCTAAATCTAATATGATACTTAAACGTAAGTATTAGTTCTCTCTTAGTTTAAAATATACTTTGGCATACTCTTTTACAAGTTTGATGCCCCAAAAGAACTGTCAGCTAAGCAATACCGGGAAAATAAGGGACACCTTTATATCAGCTGCATAACCAAGATAAATTTTCTTTATATAATGATATTTAGAAGGAAATTGATACAGACAAAGCAAAATCTGAGCACTACACTCCAGAGTACCTAGACATCTTTAAGCCAAGTAGTGATATAGTTAAAACATGCTATTTCTCAGTGCCAATAACTTTTGCAAAAAAACTACACATTAAAAAAAATTACAGAAGGAAAAACCCCAATGACTGAAATAGCTGGAACAACCAGAGAGCTGTGTTCTGTGTGCCAGCAGCAGTCCTGTTCTGGAACTCTATATTTAAAGCAATATAACTTAAAAAAATTATTATTCTATCAAGTTAGGGAATACTCTACATACCACATCCATGTATGTCAACTGTTCTGCCACAATGTGGTCTTGAAAAGAGGAGAATTCTTCTGGATTGCTGATCTCCAGTTCCTCTCCATCAACCAGGTCACTGGAGGAAGTGCTACAAAAATCTGGCCAGAATGGAAAACAACACTGGGTAAATTTATACAGCAAACAATGAGTCAAAGAAGGTATTTATTTTGAAACATCACTGTATTACAGCAGAACACCCCAAGGGTCCTGCCTGACGTAATGGCCCCACTGTGCCATTTGAGTGAGAAAAATGACCAGAAGATTAAACTGGCAAGGAAAAAGTAGAATAAAAAGAAATAGAACAAATCTTAGCAGAGAAGTGGATTGACCCATTTGCTAATTATTCTTCTGAAAGAAAAAACCACCACCCCAACAAAAATTCCTTACTGACACTGCACAGTTTTGTTAATCTACTTTTCAGTATTTATAATCTGAAAAAAAACCTTTCAAACTACAAAGGCATGAGGCTGTAGCTATACCCCCAAAATACTGCATTAGGAATGCTCTTCTATCCAGAAATAAACAAAGATACCTGATTTCGTGGCACCCTTTGTGGCTACATATTGAAGAGAGTTTATTTCAGCAACTTTCACCTTTTCTCTCAGGGAATTTTTCCCAGGAAATAGAATACAGTTAGCATCTACAATATTCTGTTGAATGGTTCTTCTAAACCTGCACTAGGCAGCAGAGAGGAGGTAAGAAAGAGAACTGTCCTCACTGAGGGACCTGACCCAGTACAGAAAGGAAAGGGTTCCACAGCTGCTGCCATGTCACCTTTTGGCTCCCGGAAGTTGGGAAGAAAAAAATTCAAGCACCAAGAAATATGCCTTTGTTTCCCATGGCAGAGGAGGAAGTCAAACAGAAACTCTGAAAATAAACCCCAATCCCTTTTACTGTAAGGCAAAAGAAACTCCATTAGGACAGAGAAAAAAATAGGGACTTGTCAGAAGACTAATAACCAAAGTACTGAGTTTACTACTGGTGAGATTTCATTTACAAAAACAAAGCGTGTTATGCAAGACTTCATACCTAGTTAAACCAGAGCATTAAAGCAACAGCAGATAATGTGATAGAGAATCATTGTTTTTCAAAATACTTCATTGTTCCTTCCTCCAGTAATTAAGAGAACATAAACACCAATGTAAATTGCTACAGTTTTGATGTAACAAGTTATGTCTACAGGCTGATTTCCATCTGTGCATTTGAATTGCACAATTTATTGGCAGAACTCACTGGGGTAAATGGAGACCTCTGTTCTAGTGCTACTTTTCCTGTTTTGTAATAATTAGCATAATTAAAAGGACATGCACTGGACTGCTACAAGAATCTCACTCCTTCTGCCTTTGTAAAACCTCCCTTTTGGCTCTTGAAATTCAACTGAAAATCCTCACCACTGAGCTGCAGCCCTATCCAAAATATCACAGCATGCTTAAAATGAGGTCCTGAAGCACGGTGTAACTTTTTTTTCATTCCTCTTTTTCTCCTTCACAGATATGTAACCAACCCTACTGTCCAACAAGCTGGAATCCCCTTGTACTCAAGCATCTCATCATCTTAGGACCCCTCTGATCCACTCAGCCCTCTCAAAGTCTGACTGCCTCTTAACTGCATCAAGAGTAAACATGTGCTCCTTCTGACCCTTCAGCCTCTGTCTCTCCTTGTTTTGCTTGCTCAACCTGCAAGAATTGAGGCTAGAAGCAGCTTTTATCTTCCTATCTAGTACTGCAATCTAATCTACTAGCATAGCTGATTGGAAGCACAGAACAGAGGTTTGATTACCCAAATCAAGCTGTAGGATTAGAGCCCAAATTTCAAAATTCAGAACCCAGCAGGAATGCTTTGGACAGTAATTATCAATGATTGCAGAAAATGTATCAGGAATTTTGAAAGAAAATGTACAAAGATGGAGCTCTGATAAAAGTTAGACAACCCTAAAACTCTTCTCTGCAGACCCCACAGCTTAATTTCATTGCCCTCCTCTTATTTTACTCTAATAACCAGCCTCTATTCTGCCACAACTAAGAAAATGTTATCATTACTACTGGCCCACCTCTGACTCAAAAAAGAATGCTTTCAGCTATCACTTGAGTAAACAAGTACAGAAGCTGGGCTGATGGGAACTTCTGTTCACTCTGAAGAACAGATGAACCCAAATATACTTCTCATGAGTCGTCCTTGTTTGAGCTGGGGCAACCCAACCCAGGAAACGTCAGCACTATCAGTATCTCAGCCACCCTGTTCCCTTACCTGTGCTCAATAAAGGCCTGGGCATTTCTTTTTCTGTTCCTGTCAGAGTTATTTTAGCATTTCGTAGTATTATGCATTGACATGGTATTTCTGGAACACTCGGCAGACATAATTTTTATGGAATGAAAGCTGGTTTTTTTCTGGCATTTTCTTTATGATTTATGGCACGAATTATTCCCTCTCACCCCTCTACCAGAGCTAGAAGTTGATTCCAGTTCTCATTCACACCCTACGTGAGCTCTTCCCACTTCCCAGCTCTGCCACAGGAAGCTTTCTGACCAGGATATGGGGATGTGTGAGGTTTGTGTGACTACAGTTCACTATTGTTCTAGCAGACTGTGACTCCCTATAACGTAAGATTTTCCTCTGTCCTTGGATACCAGCACCCAGCCACTCCAATAGGAAAAAACATCCACAGGCACTTCCTTTGACAAGATGGTAACTAGGAAGAAAAGCTGCAGGACAAAGCTTGTGACTCAAGCTGTATTTTGTCACAGCTCTGTGTTCCGTTTCTTGTTTGCTTGGGGTTTTTGGGAAGGGGTGGGAGGAGGTTAAGTGAGAAGCCCAGCTGGAGAGCAGCTGTGTGTTTTAACTCAGTGGCATGGGAAGTGTGCTGACAATTAACTAGTGGGCTGCTGCTGGAATGTCAAAGCATTGGTTAAATATTAGAGAAGTGTTGGATTTTCCAAGTCACCCCAGGATCAACAGACATAGGCACATCACACTGTAACACTATTTCTTCCCTCACATAGCCTGCAGCCTCACACACAGATTGTGTTTCCTTTTAAAAAACAAAAAAAACCCAAACAAGACCAAAAAAAAAGACAAAAAGGCTGGTGAGCCTCACAATGTTATTGATAAGCATGAGAAGTGGTGAAATGTACTACACATAAATTCCTGGGGCATCTTACAGTCTGGGAGGACAGAAAGAGAGAAGGGAATGGTAACTCACCAACAGCTTCTACTTCTTGGTTCTGAAACTGCTTCAAGAGGTTCTGCACCCTACTCTCCATGTCAGAATTTGGCATATTGTTCTTCAGATAATCCAGCAACTTCAGCAAACACATGTAGTCAGGGGGCTCCCTGAAATCATCCGAGCACTGATCAAGCCAGGCCCGTAAAACTGATGCTATTTCACTACAAGTAAACAGAGAGAACACAGTGTTTGCATCCAGGTGGAACTAAGTGTATCTGTATCCAATAGAACAACAAACATGAGACATTCACAGTCCACCTGAAGTATCTGTGCTGAGCTGTACCACAGCCATGCTTAACAACCATCAGACATTACACACACACTATCAAAAACACAAGGTAATTTCTTGGGCCACTGGGAAAAGCTCAATGTTTGCTCCATAACCACTCCCTAGGATGTGGGAAAAAAGCAGGGAGGAAACAAGGTATTCATGGCTCCTTCCCAGTGGAAATGCTAAATCAAATGCTTCTTCTGTGGCCTTTTATCAGCTGCAGAGTCTAGGGACCACACAGGAGCTGCATATCCCTCCATGCCATACTTCCCCCTTATCTACAATCTACAATGCCTGCCTGCTCATGAAACTGTGGTTTTCATGGAAGAAAAAGGAGACAATCCCAACCTAACCCCCACAGGCACACACACAGTGAGTGGGATTGCCTGATCAGGGAGGATAAAACCCTCGCTGCAGCACAAGGCTGCCTGTGTCAGAGTCAGTCTGGGAGTGCCAAGAGAGCTGAGCCTAGGAGACACAGTGATCCTGCTAATCTTAGTGATTAAAACTGTATCAGCAGAGTCTTGATTTCATCTTCAGCACAAACCAAGGAGGGACTGTCAAATTACAGCACGCAAAAAAGGTATCCTGGTCATGCTGGAAGAGCAGGAAAAAGATACTTAAGGAGTTGTAGGACCATTGGACCTTGCTCAGGGAAGTTATCCTAGACTTTCTTAGATACATGCAGCTAAAAGAACACCAACCCATCAACAATCCTTGTACATACTGAGGGAGATGAGGCGAAAGCAGAGCTGATGATTCAGCGTGGTTTCCACCCTGCCTGAAGCGGGGTGATCAGTTTGTTTGCTCTTCCTGATTTATGTAGGTTTTCATCCACACCCGTCTATTAGATTGGTACTTAGATACTGCACAATATATGCTTGTGGGAATGCCCTTAGATGCTATATTTGCAGGGATTTATCATCATTTCAACTTGATTTTGTAAAAAAAATAAGACAATTTAAGCTATGGTTTTCCAGAAATAATCTGCAATATTGTTGACAATTTTCAACTCAGTGTAGCAAAAATAGAAAATTACTAAAAAACAACCACTTTTCTTAAAACATTAACCTCCTTATTTTAGAATAAAAGCCACAATGAACACCTAAACTTCCTGAGAAAAAGGCCCTGAACTTTCCATGTCTCCAAAACCATTCCTGTACCTCAAGTCTCTTCTAGCATAGGAAACTGTATTGGAGCTGTGTACTGGCACATTCCTGCTGCAAGCTAAGAAACCATATCAGTCTCTAGTTAACTCAGCTGCTCAGCAGCACCCAAAATAAACTAATAGTTAAGAAATGGTAAAGAGAGTTTCTCCCACTCTCTGTGTCTCATCTGAATTGTGTAGGTTTTCCGCAGAACTCAATTAATTTTTAATACCAGACAACACAAGTTGCATCCATTTAAGTCTGTTTCTTTCCCTTCTTGTTCTGATAATGTGGCAACTTTGAATTTTCAGTTTAAGTATTTGGAAATCTATTGGTAATATTCTTTGGTTAGGCTTGCTGACAGGAGAAATGCTGGAATTGCAATTTCAGAGGAATGAAATGTATTTACAATCAAAAATTAACAGGCAAACATGTTCTGTCTTTCAGGTTTCATTGCAAGCTTTAGCATAACCAACAGTGCCAGACCAGCTCCACATGCCAAGGTCAGGAAAGACGACAACACGTAGATGCTCCCAGACTCTCCTGCCACCCTCCCAGTTTCATTTGTCCTCTCTAGCCCCACACACACACCTAGAATGCTGTCACATCAGCACCAACAGTCACAAACACCACTGTTCTATGCCCAGTGTTTTCCTCTCGCTCCCACCACAGGCAGGGAACACTGTGCCTCACTCCATGCCCAGTCTATTTCCTCCTGCTCCATGCTCCTTTTCCCCGCCCACATCACAAACCATCATCCCCCCTGGTCCCTACACCAAAAACTAGGCTAGGTATTCTATTCCTACAACTATTTACCAATTCAGACATTATTTGGAAGGAAGAGCCTCTCCATGGGGCAAGTTCCTGTACTAATATTATTCACACACTCCCTACACTAAACTCCGTTTCCAGAGGCTTGGTTGGTGGCCACTTTCTTAAACTGAACAATAAACAGAGCTTAAGACAGATACAGTCTCCCAGAGCAGGGTGAAGAGTTCACAGTTACAGACACTGAATTTGCCAGCAAAATCATTTCAGTCAAGAGGGCAAATAGGAAAGAGAGAAGAGGTACACTGTGCCCTAGTGATCTCCTGCTGCCCAGCCTTTCTACTGGAGCAAGGAATAGTGCAGCTTTCCAGAAATGGGCTGGACACTTGCCCATATCTTGCAGTAGCTTTATATTTGCTGCCCTTGCAAAGAAACTCTGTACTCAACAGACTCAGATAGGAACAGGGGCCTTCCCAGAGCTCAGACAGGCAAGAAACACTACATTTTTCATGGACTGATTATGAGGTATAAATTCTTCCTTTCCTGCCTATAAAAAAAACCCTCAATGCTTAACTCCTGTGCTGCTGGCCACAGACTCCAGGCTCTGCTAAGCAATGCTTTCTAGTTTCACACCTATCAGAAAGCCTTCTGATTTCTACACCAGCTTTTCTTGGATCCCATCTCCGAAGGTTTCAGTCTCCAAAACCTATCCAGGTAGTTGAAGTGTATCTGAGCCTGTTGTTCACAAAGTGGGACCAAGAACTCACCCACCCTCCTCTACCCATAAGCTGCACAGGAGGCAACAGGGCTGTGGCAGCTCCAAGTCCTACAGCTCTGCCAGCTCAGCAGGGCACATTGGAGGTTACAATGAGAGCCTCCCACCACACTGGAATTCTGCCTGGCCTTGTCTCTTACGGGGAAGACAACTCTAACAGTCCTGACAGGATTCAACAGGAATTAATGACAGAATTTCACAGAATCATGGAATTAACTAGGTTGGAAACAACCTTTGAAATCATCAAGTCCAACCTATGACCTAACACCCCCTCAGCGACTAAACCATGGCACTGAGTGCCATGTCCAGTCTTTTTTTAAACACTACCAAGGACAGTGACTCCACTACCTCCCTGGGCAGACAATTCCAGTGCCCAATCACTGCTTCAGTAAGGAATTTTTTCCTAATATCTAACCTGAACTTCCCCTGGCATTAGCTTAAGACAGTGTCCTTTTGTTCTATCAGTGATTGCCTGGGAGAAGAGACTGACCCCCTCCTGACTACAACCACCTCTCAGGAAGTTGTAAGGTCTCCCTTAATAAAAGGCGTCCTTTTTTTTTTCCAGGCTAAACAACCCCAGCTCCCTCAGTCGTTCCTCACAGGGTTTGTGTTCCCAGCCCCTCACCAGCCTCGTTGCCTCTTCTGGATGCTCTCAAGCATCTCAACGTCCTTCCCAAACTGAGGGGCCAGAACTGGACACAACTCCAGGTGAGGCCTCACCAGTGCTGAGTACAGGGGGAGAATGACCTCCCTGCTCCTGCTGGCCACGCTATTCCTGATACAGGCCAGGGGCCATTGGCCTTCTTGGCCACCAGGGCACACTGCTGGCTCATGTTCAGCTGCTGTTGACCAGTACTCCCAGGTCCCTTTCCTCCTGGGCACTGTCCAGCCACACTATCTCCAGCCTGTAACGTTGCAGGGGGTTGTTGTAGCCAAAGTGCAGGACCTGGCACTTACACTTGTTAAACCACAATTTCCAACCAAAAAGGCAAAAGCAGTGTTTTCATCCCAAAACAATTATTTCTAAAGAATGAGAAGGGAATCTCAACATTTAGGGATAATAAGGGCAACCTCAACTGCAAGAAGAGCTTAAACGATTAATTTCTTTAAAATTCTGTAAGAATATGCACAAAACTACTTATAATTTTCCAAATGCATTCTTAAGTCCATCAAGAAAATACTCATTACAGGCAGCTATTCCCTTTCCTCCAATGTCCAGGCAGTAACTCTCAGGCTTGCTTGCACAGACTAAATTAAGCCACCTGTATTTTCTCAGTTTTGCTTGTTAAATCAGAGGTAAAATGTAAGTATACCACAAGAAGAGACTGCTCCGAGGGTGGCTTCTCATACCCAGTTTGTTTATAAATACCATCCTAACGATGACTTCCAGCAAATGATCAGCACTTTCTGATTTGGAAAAAACTTGTTAAATAACATATGGGAGACTTTTGCTGGGACGCACATAAAGCCACTAAGGGAAGAGCTCTGCTACCTTATTTTAATTGAGATGCCAATCATTATTTTTTATTTATGTGATTTTCTGCTTGGTTCTGGCTGTTTTCATAACTCTCCCACTTTTCCACTGCCCTTTGTTTGACTCTCATGTAACCACACTAGTTTCTGATGTTATTTCAGCTTAACTTTCTTTACTGGAATGAATGCTTGTTGCTCTCCCAAATACATCTCCCCACCATGGATTTCCCAGGCATCAGAAGCTCCCAGACAATTTACTTCCATTTGTCTCACTTTCCTTTGATGTCTATTGTCCTTGAGTACAATCTTTCAGGCCCAGTTTTACTTCTCCAGTGCTGTAACTGTACACATTGCTTTCCAGTGGGACTGTTTGGTTCAGAAGGAACCAAAAGACAAGGTTTTGGTCAGGATGATCTGAACGCATAAAAAGCCATGGGAGAATGTTTGTCACTATGAAAAACTCCAAATGCAGTGGTACTACACTGAAGGTTTTGGTACTTGCTGTTTTAATACAGAAGAGGGGAGGTGAACAAGACATGCCACGTGGTCACTGAGTAATTCCTTAATTTTCTCTATTTGAACTATTTCCCCCAAATGCTGGGGAATGAAACAAGGTTTCAGTTTAGCTTAAAGTTGCTTTGTCTGTGTTTTTCAATTCTGCTACATTCCAAGTTTTAATAACAAATAAATTCCACATTTTGATAATAAAGCCGATGCAACTATGAGCTGATAGTCAAGACAAGCAAAAAATCCCCAAGTATTTTAATTCATTTCTGTGGCCTGTCATCCATCTAAGGGAAAGCACCACCAATGGATGCCAAACCAGCAAACCAAAGCCAGTAACAGAAGGAAACCACAGCCTTGTAATCCAAGAGGAGGTTTGAAAGGACTTTTTGCTGTTACTCAAGGATTCAGAAGCCATGGCAGTACTAATGATAGACCTATGGAAAGCAAACAAACAAACAATTATGGTTCAAGTTTACAGACCAATATTGTGGGTCTCTTGAAAAACCTTTCCTGCATGTAACCCCAGGTTTATATTCCTGTATTTTTGAGTAAGGTCTCCAAGGAACTAGATTCAGTTACCATTAAACTTTTTAAACCAAATGCAAACATCGCAGGCAAGCCTGGACTGCCAGCCTGGACAGCTTTTTGTGTCTGGACGGGAATGAATCACTTCTGGGTACTGCACTGACACAAATCTTTAAAACTGGTGGCAGCCAGCTCAGTACCTCTCACTGATGTACTGCCTCAGCTCCCCAGGTGTCACAGGCTTAGCAAGGGATTCAAGCGCCATGGCCTGGCTTGGGACACTCACAAGGCCCAGAGACATCTCAGGATCCTGCAGAGCCACTGAATCCCAGAAGGTACAAGCTGCTACAATATTTTATATTGTGAAGGCTTTATGTTCCTTTCTCAGTTCCAGTCTTTTGCCCGGTCTTCAACATCAACCTTTGGGGAAAGCAGTGTCTGTTCTTTTAACACATCACCTCTTCAAATTCATGGAGCCTTTGGGAGCAGCTATCTGCCAGAAATGGACTGATTGCCCACTAATCAAAATTCCAGAAATCAAAAATAACACTGTCCTTCACTAGAGAAGGAAAACAGCACGAGTTGTTCCACAGATCATCCTGCATAGAAAACCCAACCTCTTAACAGAGTTAACTGAGGAACTGGTCTACTCCAAAGAGAAATCAGTTGATAGGTCCTATCACCAAAAGCATTATTTCTATCTCCTGGGCAGTACATTTTGCCATTTGGGGAGGACTGAAGGCCCCACACTGCATCAATTGCTTGGCTTGCTGACCCCCCCTTCCCAGAATACATAAAGGTGGCTGAAGATCTCAAGGAGGTGACTATCCCATTCAGGTTTTCCATGATTCTGCCTGATAAGGTGCAACAAGCCTTCACATTAGACATGGGTAAGAGAAAGAACTACTTTTTGCTTTCTTTCCTCATTTGCTTTTCGTCAGGTGACATGTACCAAACAACACATTTGAACTATACAACCTCATTTAAAAGGCAACAACATAACCGAATTATAGCAGAAATTTTATGAGCCTCTCTTTAAATTTTAATACAATTAATCATGCTGATAATTTGTTTGTGTTTAACATATATATGGTTTTATTCTGAATTGTCACACACCTTGGTGTGTTTCACATTTTTTTGAATGTGAACAGAAGTCAGTCCTGAACTAAAAACCATGCAGAGAAGACGGAAGACTCCAAAGACAACAACAACCCACAATGAGAAGGGAAGTCTGTCACCCCTTGACATAAAAACATGCAGCATGACACACAGCACAAGGCAATCTTGTTGACACGTTAACAGGAAGAACAAAAAAATTACTTATAAGAGGTAGAGGGTCAAATAAGCTATTCCTTTCAACTCCCTTATCAGACAATTAAGAAACACAGCATCACATTCCTGGAAACACAGGTTGAAGTCCACCTAACTCAGATGTTTAGCTGGAAAATATGACCCTTTCTGGACTTTATTCTTCTGTTACTTGTGATCATGAAATGTCTGACTGACTGAAAGTAGTGAGAAGTGTGAAAAGCAAGTCACTGAACATGAAAAGCTAAGGTGGGTCCTGATAGGGAACGAAAAAGGCAGGTTGTTAGAAGCTTACAAAATGTTTGATGGTTTTGATGAGTTTACTCACAACTCTAAGATCCAAAGTATTTTGAAAAGCATGGTAACTTTGTTTAAACCACATATTAGATGTAATTAAGTCAGATCCCTGCTGAAAAATACAATTTTTTGACCACTCCAGCAGCCCAAAAAATGATAGGAATGATGTTCAAGTGAAGAGAAAATCCCCTTGACAGAAGGGTTCATAGGAGGGCACATTTCTGAACACAGCTGAAGTGATCTTGGGTCAGTAACAACTACACATCACAGCAGCAGTCTGGAATCACTGTGGGATCTGGGAACAGAAGGGCAGGCTTAAAGCTCCCACAAGCCCCTCTAACAAGGCTGTGCCACAAATGTACTCAAGCCCTAGGTTAGGATTTGCAGGTTCTGAACACTGAAGCAGGTATATAAACACTGTGTGGGATATTCACATAATTTAAAAAAAACCAGATCATTAACATCAGGCATTCTCCTCAAAATACATCATAACTCCATACTACAAGTGCAAAAAGAACAGAGAATTTCGATGTAGAATGCAGTAGTAACCTGTGGGCTTACAGAGCACCACAAAGGAAAATGTTCCTTCCACACATACCCTCAATTTTTACTCCTCCTTCTTTCAGGCTCTATGAGGTACTTAACAAGTCATAAACTCTCCTTCTGCAGTTGTTTTTAACTTCTGCAGCATTTTTTTTGTGTCAAACCAGTGGAAATGCTTTAAATTGCATCACAATTCTAATGGCCCAACTGGCTTTTTAAGTCCTCTAAGCTGTCACAACAGGAGTCTGATAAATGCAGAAGATCTCTGGCCACAGACCACAGGCTTCCCCATGAGATATTTTTCCTCTGAGAAATAAAGAGTTAATGGCAAGAAATAACAAGGCTCCACTGCTGCTTCCTCCTATTTCTCCAAGTCATATAAAACCAAGAGCACAATTACATCATGTTTCTGTTCTATGAGAAAAGAGGGCAAATGCAATCATATTGGAATTATTCCAAACAAGAGAAAACCTGAACTACCAGAAGTATGTTTCACAACATGACTACAAAGCCAAACACTTTCCAGATACCATTAATCGTATCTAAGAGACAAGAAGCCAGACCAACTGAAAGCAATGGAAATTTTCAGAGAAGGAACATGAATTCATATTTATATGGGATCTGTTTAAACATACCTGACAAACAACTTTGTTGACAACTTCATTGTTGAACTTCTTACAGACACAAATTTGAGTAAAGGTATCAAATTCACACATAAAGGATATCTTATGAAAGCCAAAGGAAAAAAATCAGCTGTTCTGAACTACATTAATGAAAAATCTGTCAGAAAATTCATCAGAAGTTGAGCTATCACAGGAATAGGACCACAGGCTCCATCCATGTGTCTGTCCCTGGCTGTGCAAAGGTCTTATGTGCCAAGAGGGAAAAAAGCATTGATGCAGCAGGAAGCAACTGACAAGGCTAGTAAACTATATGTATATCAGGAGGAAAATAATTTCACTAAAAACAAACAAAGAAAGAAACAAACCAAAACAAACACTCTCCTACTAAATGTTATTTGCTTGCACTCACCTGCAGGTATAACAAAAAAGTTGATGCATTTTTCCCAAAGCCCAAGTGACACAGGTAACATCTCCATTACTTTCACCATTTTTCTCTCCATCTCACCATCAAAGTCCTCTGCGACCACAAAAAGTCAGCTGGGGGATTAATCCCACCATGGTTTATACTGGTGAAACTAATTCCTCACACCCAGTACAAATCTTTCAGCTATTCTGCATGAAGGATACAACTTTAGCTCATGTTTTATGACTGAAATCAGGGGACGTCAAATGGTTTGCCCAAAGTTGGAAGAGACCCTAGAGCTCAATCTGGATGGAAGTGTGGGAACGACTGGCTGTCTGTTATTGCTTCTACCCATGACATAATGCTGCCGCCTTGGTGCCTGTAACCAAGTTTTAATTACCAGCTGTTCTTTGAGGAGTTCTCATAGCAAAATGGAAAAAAAACCATTTTACCAGCCAGGAAGGACTGAGGGTTGAGCTACTACATCAAGTCCCATGGGGCAAGAGGAACAGAAAACCAGTAATGCTGACAAGAATCAAGCATTTTCATTCTGTAATCAAATATAACTACACATGCCACAGTGCATGTAAACCACAGATGTCAAAGTACGAATGCTGATGACCTAAGGCACATTTTACACCCAATGTCTAAAGATAAAACTCTAAGAGGATAGCCAAACCACCTTTTTTCTCATTTAAACTGCAGTTCAGAACAGCTTTGATATTTCTTTTGCAAATGAAGATGACCTCAGAATTTAAATTTCACTCTAAAAGCACTGTAAATCACAGGGCACTAATGGAAAAGATCCATGCACACATGCTGCCTGAGTCACCCTCAGCTTTGCTATGCAGGCATTGCTGTAATGACAATAAAATCACTCATAAGCAATAACCACTTACTGCCACAGATAAGGCAGAGGAAACAAACACTCCTTGTTTGTTTAATTAGCAAAATGCTGGCCTAGATGTGTTCATCTCCTGTTTAATTCCAAAATAATTTCACTGCAAAAGATGACTGGATTGTATTATTGGAAATGTTACAAGATAATGGACATTTGGCCTTTCCACATGCTTGTTTAAGCATGCAAACAGTGCTGTGAATTTTCAAGGGAAACAACAGCTCTGCTGCTCACATCCTCCTCCAAGACCAAATCCTGCCTGGGCTTGCTGCACAGTGAAATCCAAACTTACGCTCTGAGTACCATCTCAGAGTCCAAGGAATTCAGGTTTGGCACTTCTCCATGGCTTGAGGTCTCCAGGTTTCCAAACCTGAAAAAGGAGGTGGATTTTAGAAAAAACTCTAGTGAATAAAAGCAAATTCCCAAATAGTTCTCTCCCGAATTTGCCCTAAACCAAGACAGCATAATTTGTATACAATTACCATAAACAACTACGAAGTGCTTCCAGCTCAAACTACAAGGAATCTTAACAGGTGGGCAGAATTAAGGACCTTGAAGATTATTTCATTTAGGAGGGAAAATATCCTAAAGAAACAGCCAGTATCTTCCAACCTAATTCGTTAATTTATATGAATCAGCCTGCACACAGGAGGAATCAACCAAAACAATGTCTTTGCTCACAGCTCCAAGACCCTTCTGCCTGTTTTCACTCCATCTTTTCCCAGGGCAATATTCCAGTGTGCAACAGGACTGTAACAAAACCACCTTCCCAATACAGTTTCTGTGTCTTTAGCACCTGCCATTCCTAACAGCTCCAAGTGTTATTTCAAGGTTTCCTAGGTGACAAGTGCTAACTTTGTGCCCAAACTCCTGACATAAGTGAGAAAAGCCCACAATGCTGTGAAAACACCACTGGGAAACAGAGAACCCTGGGCACAACTCCAACAGTGCCAAACAGAAATCTCTTACCTACAAGGCACAACCCTGTGCCTTGCAGGCAAGATCATGCACTTCATTTTCAGCAGGAGTGCCCATTGTTTTAGATCTACAGCTCCATAATTATCCATGAAGAATTCCATGGCTCCCTACAGGCAGGTTTAAGAATAAGAATACAAGCTGATTTCATCCATATACGTTTATACATCTCAATTAATCTGAAGAGTTAAAACAAGTGCATCCTTAATGCTTGTGCTACAACAACCTCATAACATCAGACAGAGAGAACAGTTTTTGTTCCAAATGTTCATATCAGAACTGTCACAAACTGATCCAAAAACATTTCAATGCATGGAAGTGGTGGTAGTTTTATGCTCCTCTCAAGTATTGGTCTAAGGCTTTGAAACAGAGAAATTAAGAATTAGGAATTAAGCATAAAGGAATGCTTGACCAGAAGAAGGAAGAAGGGGTGGAGCTGACAAAAACCTATACTGCTCCCACAAGAGCAAGAAAAGACTGAGACAGCAAGGTAAGATAAAGAGCTAGAATACACAAACAGGATGCAAAGACAAAGGCATCACAGGATAAGGGGATTCTATGGACCCCTAAGCCGGAAGGAACAGTATCAAAGTCCAAAAGGTGGTCAAAGGACTAAAAAGAGCATGCACAAGAAGACAAAGTGAAGAGTTCAGCTAAAGAGAAAATTGCTGACCTCATCCCAAAGACCCCCCTCCAGACGACCACCGAACTGACCAAAACCGACCACTGCGCAGCCGCAAAGGGGCGTGGAGCTAATTGTAATATGAAGTGAGGACAGGTGGAGTTAGGAAATGAATATGTATTAGGCGTATTGTGCAACCCTAGTTTGTAAAGGATAAAAAGAGAAAGCCAAATCTAAAAGGTGTGCATGCTTTTCGGAGGAGATATCCCCCATGCACCTCAGCGCTGAATAAATTCATACCTACTCTTATAATTACTCTGTGAGTTATAGAGTTTTTCTATCCGCATATCATCTTCGTATATAAGAATCACAGACCTGTTGTTAAAAGGGATAGGATTTCACTCTCCACTGCCACCTACTCTGTAAGATGCCTAAAACACATCTTAGCCAGTAGAAAAAATGCACTTTCCCCTGCTAGAGAATTTTTTTTAAAGAAAAATTAAATTTTTATATTCAGTTTTCAAACCTTGCAGTTAATTTTTTGAGGAAAACTTATTGAGATGTGTCCCAATATCATTGTCCTACTATTGCATGAAATATTAAATACGTCTTTGCAGAACATTAGGCACTTGTGTTTTAATCCCACTAGAGACACAAGCTGGGTTTTACAGGAGAAATCTGTAAGACAGCAATAAAGAGCAGGCAGTTTTCTGGGCAAAACTGGAGAAGGATATAATGCTTCCTCTTCCTTATGTTGCCAGATATAAATCTCTGCCTATCTCTCATCTTTCCATGAACAACAGATCATTAAATACGGGTTAGGAGGAGTTAACAACACAACTGGTTTAAAGAACAGCCTTTCTGCAGCCCTCCAGCACTCTCCTCTCACCAGCTCCCAGACAAAGAGCCTTTCACTGCCAAGGCTTGTAGGAATGCTTTGCATACAAAAAGAGACAAGAGAAACAAAAGGATCCTATAGCCCGCAGAACTTTTCAGCCTTGCATTTGGGAAGTTACAGACTACACTCAAACAGACTAAGCAAGTGAGACTAGAATGTAGTGGGTAATACTGAACGTTTAAATACTGGAAAATAGAGTGGAAAATGCATCCCTGCCTCTCTGTTAAGAGAGAGGGAGGAAAATACCCTGAATAACTCAGAAATAATAAGGAATGGTGGTCTCTGCAACAGCCCCAAAGTTCTAAATAAGCTTGTAAGCATTGAAACAAGCTATTTGGAAGGCCAGATCCTCAGGAAAAATAAGATGGTTTGAATCTTAAACACATGGGAGTCGTGGAAGTGAAATCACTTCTTTAGCTGAATAGACAAGCCACCTGATATAAAGGAAAAAAAGACAAAATAATAGATGCTGCAGGAACAGAAGTGAGTCAAACACTACAAAGCTGCTGTCTCAAAACAAGTGGCTCTGCTACTGCAGGACCCATTCCTTTGACCCTCTCTCTCTGCCTCCCCTGTCCTCTCCACATGCCCTCCAGGAAACCATCCTCCTGCAAAAGGAATGACCGGAAAAATAAAAATAAACTTAACTTGTTCTTTGCTGTCATTAACCAGCTCCAACTCTCGCACCAAACAATTTCAATTCCCTCCTCTGTAAACTGCTTCAGACAGGGACTGGTTGCTACTTTCTCTGCCTGTGCCAAGAACAGCACAGCTCCACTTCTGAGGAACATGGTTATCAGGGCAAAATACATTATGGAAGAGAGGAATTTGGCCTCCTTCTAACCTTATCTGGATAGCTAACCAACTCTGGCTTCCATCACCCTTTGGAATAACCCCCTGCAAATACCAAAGGCACCACACTGTATCCACATATCTAGGGCCAGGAGAAGCCGCTCTTCTTCCCTCCAGGAGCTTCCATGGAAGGCTTCCACATCAAAAATGCCACCAGGATCTTTTTCTTTTAACTCTCCCTGCCCACTTGTACCAAACAGCTAGAAAATATCAGAAGGTACAGTGTTAAAAGCTTAGCAGATTTCCAAAGCTGTCTGCTGCACTTAGATGCCAAACTCCCATGAATGCTAAAGGGATGTGGATGTTCAATTACTCCTAAATAAATAAATGTGGGAAAACAAGTAGTCCTACTCACTTCTCAACATACCAGCCCATGCTCAAGATTTTGTCTAGTGACTTCTAATCTATCTTAGAAGAAAACCTTTATAGGCTGAATCTGGCTGAAAAAAAATCATATGGCTTCTGTCTCAAATTTAATCAAAAGCAAAAGGGTAATGTGAAGTCCCGATGGAAAGAAAATAAAAAAATGCAATAACCAGGTAAGCATAGCATCAGCTTTTTTATTTGCTCCCCTGACTCAGGGAAGAGCGCCTCACCTGCTTTTGGACACCATAAATGCTTTCTTCCCCAAACTCAGCACTGTACTGCTTAGACAGGATACTCTGCAGACAGCATCAAATGACCAAGAGGTTTCCCCACACACTTAGGGTACAGGATATGCACATTTCCCAGGACATTTTCCCAAGAGTCCCAGGACTTTTTGTGTAAGCTGGGTTTGTCTAAGTCCAACACATTCATCAGACAATTCTGCAGCGCTGTATCCACAGCAAATCCAGCATGAATTGAATGCACCGGGCTGGAGGGTGATCCACCTTCCACAAGTAAATTGTGGAGGAAGATTTACAATGAGTATATACCTACAAAACAAAATATCCTGCAAATGATGTGGATGCTGTTCCCTCCTCCTCTCCCAAGGAGCTGCTCACCTATGAAAAGCTGGAAGGGCCTTTTTTGATCTGGTCATATCACTGGACCAAACAACAAGAGCTCAGCACTTCTAATTGTTCCCTTACTCGACAACCCTGCTCTATCCCCAAGAATAAGAGACAGGGCTCAAGCTCTTCAGATGAAACTGAAAGTGACAACAAATGCCAAAACTGTGCCACTTTTCTTTTTCTTTTTTTTAAGAGACTTTTTTTCTAAGAGATGGAAAGTTATTTTTCATTATTACTTCACTGGCACACAAAACAAAATACAAATTATGCACTAATACCCACTTTAGTCTCTATACTCTGATTATTAACAAGTATCACTAAAACAAAGTTGCAAAAATGCAGGCTCTGGGGTACTTATTCTCAACTAATCTAGAGATGAAACCCAAGCTAGTAAAATCAATTACTATTGATCTTTTTTATTTTTTTCTATTTTTTTCATTAAAACATCTGCTTTTCTTCACAAATCCATATTTCTCAGCTACATGTAAATCATTCTAACTTTTATAACTTAAGTTTAATCTGTAATTTTTCCCAAGCTATAAAATTCAAGATTATCCCTTATGTACAAAAAGCCATGAGAAACATCCATGGATTCTTAAGCACTACACTCCTATGATTTGTGAGAAGAGAAGGCATGATGGATTGGCATTTAAGAAACAAAGAGAAACACCTGAGGAAGCTAAAGCTGCTGGAGGCTGATGGGTGTTTTTCTCCCGGCCAATAACTGGCCATTTCTGAGAACTGACAGTATAATATATTTCAGAGAAATAAGGAGATGCCTTAATAAGCTGAAATATTCTTTTGTTAAACCTATGGAGATGGACAATAATGTCCCGAAAAAAACTCCTTTAATTCATGAAAGAGTATTTTTTGGGGAATGGAGTATTTCAAAGTGTGGATCTGAGCAAAGGTAATTCATTGATAAAGCTGAGTGAATGGTGAAGTAGTTGTGATCTTATGAGATGCTGGAACAGAAACGGAGAAGTGAGAGTTGTTGAAGATTTGTGCCCCTTAAGAGACAAAGAGAAAACTTCTGTTTCCAGAGAGGCTCACAGAGACAGATGAAGAGAACTTTTGGCCTCTGAATAACTCATCCTTAAAATGACACCCCTTGACCTATGGCCCATGAATGCACCTCAGAGTGGTGTGAAATGGGAGGAAAGGACTGATGGCAGAGTTTTCCGGGCGGCTGGCATCAGAGAAATAGAAAACCATGAGAAAATGGTTTTCTTGTGAAAAACTCCATAGATTGACAAACGAGGACTTCTTTTTCTCTACAAAGACTACTGATGAAAAGACTATAGCAAAGTTGGGACTGGTTTAACCACCAGGGTTTTTTTGTCTCTATGTTGTCATGTGAACAAGAGAATGGTTGTGTGGTGAGGAAAAAGTGTTTCTGGAGGTTTTATTCTGGTTTCTTATTCTTGTAGTTTTGTTAATAAATTTTCTTTATTCCTTTTAAGTTTTAAGCCTGTTCTGCCCTTCTCCTAATCTATATCTCACAGCAAGAAATAAGTAAGTTTTCTAGTGATTTTGTAGCTAATGCTTTAAAACCATGACCGAAGGGAAGGAAGTGGTAATCTCCTAGGATTTTCTGTGGATCCTGTCATGTATTATAAAAGGGTGGGGACAATGCTGACAAGATCAGGCAGCCCATTCCTCTGAAGGGGGTATTGTAGCTTGCTCAGAGAGATACACAAGCCAACAAGATCAAAACAGGGCTTAGAAAAGAGAATTCTGTTCTATGGAGACAGTTCTCCTGGGATTTCCTGTCCTCTCTGAGGAGGAAGGCAGGGTCAGCTTCCTTAGAGCTTCAATGTTTTTAATTTCTTGTATGTATCCACTGGCAATTTTTATAATTTCTCGCACTCAGAACTAGAATTGGGATGGAATGAGAGAACAGTCAATGTAACTGTAACCAATTCTACTTTCCAGGATGGCTGCTCTTCTCTCAGCTGACTGCTTACCTGACTGTCAGGTTGTTATTATTATTATCTTGACTAAATAAACCAGACAGCATTCCTACAGAGCAGCCAGGATTATCCTTTTCAGATAGAAAAGAGAAGCACAGATAATTTGTCCATGCCTTGTTCCTCATCTACCTAGTGGGAGAGCCAAAATGAAACCCTAAGAGTTCTTATGCCACTTCTCTGTCCTAATTACCTCATGCCAGAGCAACCATTTCTGTGAATCACAGATTTTGAAAGTGCAGCAAATATGACATGCCCAAAATAAGAGCACACCTGACCCAGCCGTGTGTCAGTCAGAATTTAGGGTGAGAAACTAATGCTGTGTGTTCCAAGCATTTATGCAGACACAGCAGCCATGATTTAACAGTCTGACCCTAAAAGCTATTCTTAGAACATTTAGCAGTTCTTGGGCTGTCTGCAAAAATTTATAGCTGCACATTCATGTGATGTAATAGAACAGGAGAGCAAATTCTTTCTTGTGTTTGTACAATTCCTGTTCTGAATCAGCAGCCCCCAAACAGAAGAGCTAGGTCTGAGAATATTGGTATCCAACAAAATTTTAGAATTTCTTCTAGGTATGACTTTGCAGCCCATGCATTCTGTTGAGTTTTCTGGAGGAAACTATTACTTTTGCTGTGCTAGTCCAGTTGGGTTCTTTAGCAGCCCAGGCATGGCACACTTTCCTTGCGTATCCTTTGAGGAGAGTTGGGAGCACCAATGTATTTATAGACTGGATGTTTATGCTGAAATTCTAAATTTTGCATATTCTTAACAACAGCTTATTAAATCTACACCCACTAAAAGCAAGGGAAGAAATTCCTGACAACTCTCCCCTGTTGTGTAAATGATGGGTCCATTTCCACTGCATAGCAGTGGCTCTTACCTGTCCAGAAGAAGTTCCAGCACTGCCCTGGGAGATGCAAATGCCCTGTATGTTGCAAGGAAGATGCTGATGTAGGAAAAATCCGCATCTCCAAAAGCTGTGAGAAGGTTCTCCACCAGTTTCTCCAAAGTTCCAGCTTTTATAGCCCTGATCTTGGATGTTTCATACTGTCTGACAGTGTGCTCTGGGGGTAACTGGTCTCCTTCACCCTACAAAAGGAAAGAAGAGTACAAAAGTCAGGCAGGAGACAGATCTCTGACATGGATAAAGTCCTATCTTTGGCCAGGAGATGGCCATCACCAGTTACTAAATGATTTTGTCAATTTTTGGTGCTCTACAAGCACCAAACACTGTATCAAGTAAAGGAGTTTTTAAGTTATATTAAAGCATTTCTCTGACATGCTCAAAAAGACATTTTACAGTGTGACCACTATCAAGTTAAGTCATGCTTCCACCATATATTATTACCTAAAAGACAATCCATTATCCCACAAAGAGTAATATTACTGAAGGGAACAAAAGTGGTAATTCAGTGTTTCATTTAACTTCTGAATAAACATGAAAACTGACCATAATTTAAGCACTGGCACTTGTGATTCCCTTGCTGAAAATACTAAGCTTGGGGTGCCACACAGCACCCAAGGTCAGAACACATTTGGTGCAAAAATATTTCAAGATACTTTTATAAGGAGGGTGTCAAACTCATCTCACAAACAAAGCCTTCTAATGCTCCAGTTTTCTCTTAGAGTTTCCACTTGGCGCAATATCTGTCCATAAATCTACGGTTTGGGATTGTGTGTGGGTATGTTTTTTAAACTGCATTTGTCTTAAATGCTTACAGCCTGCTTTAAGTCTGAAAGAACACCTCCTTAAATTATGCCATTATTTAGAGGACAGTTCAGAAAAGTATTTTTGTGACTGGTTTAAATCCTGTTTTGTAAAGTATGTGGGAAAAAAATGTGATTATAAATAAAAATCATCCAATATTTACTCAAACACCTTGATAATAAGGACACAAAGACAGCACCACCAACCCTGGCTCAGGATACTGATGAAACACAAAAGAAAAAAAAAAAAATCTATTAATAGGCTAATTAAGAAGAAATACCCCACCCACTTCCTATTTACATGATTACCCTCCACTGCTTTAGAATTGTTTCTAATAGACATCCTTTTCAGTTTTAAACAATATAGATATCTTTAACATCATTCTAAAACTCTAATATTATTTACAAAGCTCTGCTATCTTATTTCACAGATTAAAGAGATCAAACAAACCCTTGCTGCAACATTAAAATACAACATTACTGTCTGTATTAAAAAAGAAACAAAAACAACAAAACAGACTAGACATGGAAATATTTTGCTACATTTTGTTCCATGGATCTTATGGCTTTTTAAAAGAAAGATGTATAACTTGTAATATATCTGACTTAAAGGTGCATCTGGAAACATATTATAAAAATGAACTAAAACTGTATCTGGAATTATGTTTGACACTGTCATTACAGCAACGTTATCAACAGGATATGTTGTCACCACTATGTAACTCTCTTCATTCAAATTTTCCTTAAGCAAAACTTGGTTGCATAAAAAAAAAAATAAACTCTTTATCTTACAATTATGATAACTTTTTAAAATAATTAGTTACACAATAAAACCACATTCAGACAGGGTAGAAAGTCTGCACCACTGTATTTAACTCTTAATTTTTGATCCAGCAGTTGCCCCACTCACAGTTTAATGGTTTATGGGCATATTTACTCAGGGCACATAAAACCCTCTCATTCACTCTTGTGAGTATATTCAAAACAAGGGCAGAATCTGCTTCCAAGACTGATACATGCACAAAATTTTCCATTAATTCTAACACTACAACTTCCCCAAGACATCACATTGGGAAAATGTTAAAAAAACAACAAAGCGAAACAAAAAAATCCCACCAAAGCAAAACAAAACAACACAGTTTCTGAAAAATCTAAAACTTTGTCAACAAAATATCAAACTGATAGAAATCATTGTGAGAGTTCTGGGACTGCTTGTATTTGTATTATTTTAGCAATTCTGCCTGTAAGTTTAAAAGGAAAAGGGACTTGGCAGACAAGCTCAATAACAGGCTTTGAGAAGACCTTGTGGGCTGAGTTTCAAGCTAACAGGAAACTGCTCAGTCTGGATTTAATCAAGAAGGCATCTCTTCACTGACACAACCAGGCAACCAAAAGGCTAAGGAGTTTTCATGTCTCCTTTAGAGCTCTCTGCTCAGAGGAACACTCTACTCACTGCCATGAAAACACACTCCTAAAGCTCTTTGCAGTTTTTGACATAGGTGCATGGTGACCATGCACTGTTAATGGTATCAATAAATGACACCTGTTTTGCACTGTTTTGTGCATCCAAAGAACAAAAAAATCTCTCCAGCTCCTCTTTGTCTCCTTCAGCATTGTTTCCAGTGGTCTAGAGACCTCAACATTTCAGGGCTTACATAACATTTTCCTGGTCCTCTAAAATAAATAGATATAGCATTTTATAGTCTGATTTTTATCTTTTAAAATCTCGCTTTGATTTTTCAGGCAACAGATTATAACCTTGATAATCTGCAAGTGTAAGTAATGAGCAAGTAGCTTCCTACAAGACAGACAACATCTTTCTAAAGCAAATGTAGAAAGATTAAATGGAGGTATATCCTTGCAAATCCTTATTTTCTGAGGTTGTGTGTGTACTGATGTGCAATTCTAACAGCTTTACTAACCCTTGGCAATGCTGTACCTTCAGAGGGGCCCACTGTCTTTAAGGTGATCATCTTACAGCTCTACAGCACAAAACATTATCTTGCTGAAACAGGAGAACTCCATGCAGACCAAAACACATCCAGGCTGAAAAGCTTCTTCCAAACACTACCTTTTAAGCTCCAGTGGAAGTGTGAATTAACTATAAACACCACCATCGCCTAAATAAATGCTACAGCCTAGCAATAGGGATTAGAGTCTCAAGATAAAACTCAGATCAGTTCAGAACCAGGCTGGTACCCAATCAGACATACAAGACTGTAGTCATTGTCTTAGAAATAACACTGGAAACAACTGCTTTCATCCAAAAAAAAGCCTGCTCTGCAGGCTTTTCCTAATGCAAACATTATCTGTTGAGATTCTGGAAGTAAGAATCAATCAAATTGGTTTTTATTATGCAGGCTGGAAATAATACTAAAACAACTGGGATGAACAATAAGAAAAGGAGATAGCAAATACTCTTCAGAGTCAGTCATTTGAAACATTACCCCTCCACTAAAGATTTGTTTTATTCAGAAATTCTACATTTATTTTCAGGAGCCTCTAACTAACACTTTAAATGCATTTTTACCAATTTTGACAGAATTTTAAATGCTTTTCATTTTCCTTGAAACTTACTTCCTTGTCTTCAAGATGGAGAGTTTTCCACTCTGTTTTTATTAACTTACTGGACAGGCACCCTATGCAGGAATACATGTGCCTGAAGTGCAGTAACTTGTACATTAACTCAAAATAAAGCACTCTAATCAAGAGTTTGTCTAAATATGAGTCTGCTTTAACCTTCTGAAAGTAGGAATTAGATGTTCTTTGTGATTTTAACCTTATTTTTTTCACATTGCTTCCTTACACACAGGTTCTCCAACACATATCTTTAATATCAACACTCATGCTTGGGGGGAAAAAAAAAGGAAAAAAAATCAAATCATGGAATGATTAAACTTGAAAAGCTCCAGAAATATAAGCATCCATAATGTCAGTCTAAGAGAGGAAAAACCTAAAATATCCCTCATTTAACATGCAGATACACATCATTAAAGAAAACAGCAAGACAGATGAAACAGAAGTTGTTTAGTTGTCTTAGTCAAATATTCTGCAAAGACATTAACAACTTTTTTGACTAAGTGTTTCCTTCCAACAAAGACCCTGATGGAGTTCATAACTGAGTGGATAGAAACAGGTGCAGGACAGCCAGACCCACAGTAGCTGACATTCATCTGCACTGACTCCCAACTCCACCACATGACCGCTGAACAAAATAATCCTCAGAGAAGTGGCGATTTTGCCCAAACAATGCCACATAGCAGTGCCTGGGCTAATCTTATCAAACAGAGTCACAAGTATTTCAAGCGTTTTGGGCCAGGCTGTTCCCATCCCCACTGCCTCCTGCCCTCAATTCTGTGGGCCCGCCAGAGTTAGCCCTGCAAATCTCACCACTGCACTCTGTACCCAGCTACAAGCACAGAAATCAGTCTGCATGGGGGAAAGCTGAATTTGGAACAGAATTTCCAGCCTAGGAAAGCGTGACTGGCAGTGCATGGCTAGGGTGGACAGTGGTGGATGTCCTGTAGACAAAGGCCATCATGATGCTTTTATCCTACAGTGCACTTGGAAATTAAATAAAATTATGCCAGAGCTCTCCACAAAACTCTCAACACTAACTCTCACTTCCTCATCTTGGATACTGTTTAAAAAAACAAACAACAAAACCAAACAAAAAACACAAACAAACACAAACCAACCAACCAAAAAAAACAAACCCACCAAAAAACAAAACTCTGCATACTGAGTACACTAAACTCAGAAGCCAAAATAAGTTTATGAACTCTTTCCTGAACTCCGAAAAGGAGAGGTATTCCTGGATTCCCAAAGCTCTGCCCTTTTCCTTTCCCTTCTTGCCACATAAATACCCATTCTTGGCAGTGACACAGAGTTTCCAGGACCAATTAATTCCATGACCATGACACAAAAGGCATTCTTGTTGTCTCTTCAGAGCTCACAACCTGGCTGGTATCTGTCTGAAGCACTGGCAAAGTCACCAAAGCTGTGGGGCAGATTTAGAGGGAAAAAGAGAAAAGGAAAAAAGCCTCTTACACAAATGCTGCTGCTCAGTTAGGACCTTTTCACTCGGACACCTTGCAGCTACTTAAAGCCAGTGCGGGGGGGGCGGGGGGGGGGGGGGGGGGGGGTGGGGGGGGGGTGGGGGAAGTGAGAAACAAGAGGCATTCCATGGTGCTGAGGTGTGCAATCTCACACCTTCTGAAGTGATGCAAATTTAGACTCATTTGGATATTGGTGAATTTTGTAGGACCAGCTCTATATGAATCAAAGTAAAAGCAAATAAGTCTAATTCACAAATCACCTCTCCCTGCATGCATACAAAGGAGTTTTAGCAAGTACATTGCTAAATTGAATCTTCAAAGAGG